TTAACAAGCTGGTTCACGCGCTGACTCACGCGCTGATTCACGCGCTGGTTCACGCGCTGTTCACACGCTGGTTCACACTCTGGTTCACGCGCTAATGCCTTTTACACACATAATTGTGTACGTTAAGTAGTCACTTCAGTACTCTATAGAGCAACGAAGTGAATACGTCACTTGCACAATTATATATAAAAGACAGCAGTGCGAGAACCAGCGCATGAAGCAACAAGTCCACGTACTTCATTCCCTCGCACTACACGACACTCCTCGGTCAAAATGACATCACACTTGGCTACTCTATAGTGCTTTACTGTTTGAGTCGCAAAGTGATTCCGTTAATTACCTCTGATCAATGAGCCATTTGACCCCTTTTCTTCAGCAGGTGATTAGAGAAGTTTGGTGGGTCAAGAGAGGGCACTATTTTCTTAGCAATGGAGGCTCCTTTGGGTGAACTGAACTACGCTGGTTCCTGAAGCTCCAGGAAACGCACGCGTCACAGTTGCTGTGGTCACACCGCTACCCACAAAATGAACACTCCCAACCAATGCGGCTCTTTTCAACCGATGACGGGGGTGCTTCTGCTCCGGGTGGATACTCTCCAAGGTACCCACTTATGCTTCACGGGGAAAGAGAGCCAATTCTGGTAAATCGTCTTGGCCCAAGGAACAGATGCACCGTGGCACCACTGGAGTTTGAACCAATGCATCACTGCAGGCGGATCAAACGCGTGAATCATTGGACCCCCGTGTTTGACTAGATGGTGAAGAATGGAAGAAAAGCGTGACATACCTCAAACAGTGTTAATGCCATGCCGCTCTCCAGGCCTTCCTGTAGCATCATGATAGACTCAACGAGTGGGTCACTCTCCATACCGCCGTTGGGCACACGAGGGCTCTCTGGTATGTACTGAAAGGCTGGCTCCTCCTCAACTGCCTCACCGACATAAACTACACGTTGAAAAAAAACAGACAGATGTATGATGGTTACAAGTAGATTGAGACGCATTAGGGTACACAAGGTCCACATCCAATTTTTTTAATGTGAAAAAGGAGAGATAAAAATATTTCAAGCTGAGAAATTTCAGAAATCTCGTAAACGACTAAATTGTTGACAGTTGAAGGTCAGGCCACAATTCTGGAATGACTCTGGAATGCTTCACTTACCATTCGGTCTGACAGTGAGTAAGAGGTCTTTGTTTCCCAACTCCCCTATGGAGCGAATGGTACTGACCACTTGCTCATTGGTGTACTGTGTCAGGTCTTTACCATTCAGGAAGAGGATTTGGTCACCTTCATTAAGCCGGGGGATGCACTGGTCGGCCTGAGAGGGAGGAAAAAATTCCAATTTAAATATTTTCTCCACGATGGAGGCAGATTTTTGAAAAGCTACTTAGGAGCAAATATTGACCAGCAAGAATCAAATCGGTCACTCTGTTGTCTTCGTGACCCTACATGTATGTGGACTGATGCTTCCAAATATTTTCTGGACTTGTAAGGAAACGAAGCAAACAAGCAATCTTCATACTGGTGTGTTTGGTGCCACTCTTGACACGATGATTGGACTGCCTTGTTCGGCCCCGCCTTTAACATTGAACCCAAAGCGCCCTCTATCGTCACTTTTCATGCGTATAGATACCAGTGGGTCGCCCGTGGGCGAAGTTCCGTTGGGCTGTGGGAAGAAAAGAATACAGCAGTTTCAAAGATGGGACAATACACTGACGATTTTCCAAACCAAAATATTTGCACAACCTTCTTGATGAACCACAGTTCATCGTTTCGAAGCCTGATTTCCATACTCCAACCTCTTTGTACTTTACACAATTAAGTCCATTTCTTAAACAGAAATATTTGTACAGTTTAGCTGATCTTACTTGGACTCTTGTCTTGAAACTAATGGAGCATTTCCTTGTTCAGAATGGTCAACATTTTCCACTTGGAAAGCCTTATTGTAATGGCAGAAATGGATGACCTTTCCACGAGGAACACAACATCCCCACAACAACTCTGTTTGACAACGGTTTATCTTGTTGATATATGAATGTTCCCACAGAATGCTAGTGCGTTGCAGTTGGAATTGTCCAATAGAAGGCAAATGCTCCTGGATTCTGAGGTGCTCCCTAAATGTGCAAGGACCAAAGTTGACAGGACACGTAATCTTCTTGAGTCATTCAGATCAGATGCAATCTTCAGCTATTTCAATGCCGCCCCCAACACAGATGGTTCTACATGTACTTGTACTTTCAGATGGCACTGAGAATGACTCATTGCAATTAATGTCAATGTCAAGCCAAACCAATTGAATAGGAATAGTGACATACTTTGTTACTTATGAAATCTCAGATTAGTACAAAATAAGTACATTGTAAATCATAAAGGAAATAAGACATCAGCGGGATTCAGTGATATATATTTCCACGACTTTGTGTAACAACTGAACAATTTCGGTGGAAATAAAGATTTTCTTTCAAGCTTTTTTTGGGGGGGAAGGGGCTTGATCTTTGTCATTACTGGCCGAGTGATAGAGATGTTACTAGCTTACCGTTGGTCCGTCGTTCGACAGGTCATATGACCTCTCTGTCAGGCTGAGGTCACTCCCGCCGTCGTCCATGAACATGATCTTGGGAGGATGCAGTAGCTCCTCGCTCTTGGAGATACCGTTCTCACTGCAAGACAGACACACAGACAGACAGACAGTCAGAACATTCAGGCTTGAGCTTCTACATCCTACACCAATTTCGTCTGGACCTGAATCCACTGATTTGTGGCTGCCTCTTCCGTTCCTGGTACTGACTCTTATCCCCAACCAGAGACACCACCTTCCCTTCCTTGGATGTCATCCAACTTTACATTTTTATTGATGGGCTATTCCAGGTAAAAAGAGGAAGAAGCTCATCTTTCGCTCTGGGAACCACGGACATCTGATTCCAAGAAGAAACCACGATCTATTGGCAAAGCCACTGCTACTGGGTCAAAGGTTACATCTGGGTGGATACAGCGTTAAGGCCAAGTTGAAAGCCACTGAGCAAAGTGGTCAAACCTTGCCAACATTTGCAAATGCAAAAGTATAACAAACATTTATGAGGGTAATGCAGCTCCGGTGTGCTGTTCAGTAACATTTAACAGAACAGAACACCCCACTTCAGCTTCACAACATGACATGGCGCCAAGACAACCGATAATAATCTCCATGAAGTCATTATGAAACAGACATACAGTCCCTCGATAAGCTTTGCAAACTTTCCCAGTTGGTTATCGGTGAAGTAGTTGGCTGATTTGACCAGTAATTGGGTTAATTTTATTCATCTTCTGAACATTCTGTACAACCGTCAGATGAGTAATAAAAAGATATCATCTTGATGATCCTGGCCTAAGAATACTGTACAGAAACTTTACAAAGATCAGAAAAAAACCTAGAGAATGATGAACAAGCTACTATGAAGACGTCTCATAGAAAATGTCAGCTGCTAGACATACTTATAGAAAAAATGGCTCCTGAAATAGACCATGCTGGTGAAGTGAGTGACATGTGCAGTCCCACACAATGCAGAATTTGCATTTATCCAAAAGTATACAATCCCACGCCTCACAACTCCACCACGCCCCCTCCCACAACACACCCAGAAAACATATCTGCCATGCACACACAAAATGTCACTTTGTGACATGCCGGAAATGAGAGTCCGGGGGAAGTTTAGCCCCTCCAACAGAGCTTGGGGATTTCTTTGTGTCTTGGGAAACTCACCGTATGCCATTAGGCGAGCCAGGCACATGCCCGTCATAGCTGCTGCAATACTGTCGGTTACGGCTGTGGATTGCGGTAATAAAAATGGGGAGAATGGATCATGCAAAAAATGGCTTGTAACAGTGACATTATCATCAGCAAATCGTGCAAGCGTTTTAGTCTGTGAATAGTGTGCAGTTTGGTAAAACCAAATCAAAACTATATGCAAAATGGAACTCAAACAACAGTTATTTATAGAATGACTTTATACATATAACAAAATACTTGTACTAAATGATAAATAAAACAAATGCAGTTTTGTTTGTCGATATGTATGATAATGTGGCTTTCAAAATTTAATTAAATAAACCAATGTAAATAAAAAAAGGAGGTTGGCAATCTAAGAAATGATTATCATAGCTCACAATGGTTTGCACTGAATACAATATGCTACTTTTTATGCACAGCAATGACAGCTTTATCCAACACAAAAATGACAGGCTCCAAGGCTGAAAAGAGAGGCGATGATTCATCAAAGATGAAATATGGACAACATCTTGCAAGAAGAGAAATAGGCAACTCAGTCCCAGAGAAGACAACGTGAAGAATTCATAAAAGAAAAATGGGCAAAGACAAGTCTGCCAACTGAATTCAGTGGTAGTGGGAATTTAAAGTACATCTGATTTTGGTTTAAATATTTTCCTTCTGATTTTCTTGCAGGTCCTTTTTTTTTTTACAAATTCTTCACTCAAACTGTCATGAATTCAACCCACATGCCATCTTCTCATTCCACAAAATAAAAACAAAACGTCATGAGGCCCAATCGCAAGTTTATCAGTCAGGCAAAACATAGAAGAGTTTTCATGGCCACTGTTCAGCTTGTAGATACGGCAACCATTCATTTTGCCTTCATTCCAACAGCCAGCTTAGGGATTTCATGCAGTGTTTTTTGAACCCATCCTTTCAGCACCTATATACCTTGAGAGAGTAATCAAGCCGGTACTAGAGGTGGTCTTGGCAAGTCTTAATTCTTGGCCTGGATCAAAGCCACAGAAACCGAGGGCTAATCTACTCCCTTGTAAAGACCACTCTCTGACTGGTTCACCCATGCACTCTTTAAATTTTAAAGGAAAATAAAACCTTCAGGAGCTTGGTGACCCATGGTTAAGGGGCAATTCCACAAAAAATGTCAACTTTCTGTCAACGTGCAAAATAGCTTTTGTTTGAATTTTACACGAAAAAGATGTTCTTTAGTCCTATTGACCTGTGGACTTCTGAAGTGTGCTAGGAAAAAACAGCGCCCTCACTGGGCTGTGCACAAAGCAGATAAACACAATTGAAATCCAGAACGCAACAGCTTGTCGGGCAAAGTTGACATTTTCTATGAAGAACTGGCCCACTGCAAAGCTTGCTCGGTCATGCTGGTTAGGAGTTTAGCAGCCAGGTTAAGTGACTAGGCAATCCTCCTTCAACCTGGGTTAACTTACTAGTTGAGTCCTAGTGATTTGTGTTTGGATGACCTGGTTGGCAGGCTGCTACTCACTGTACTGTTAATAATGCAACAGATGAAGATGTAAAGGATATCAAACACCTGGTAACTAACTATAAACAGATTAACCCATTCATAACCCTGGTTGACAAAAACCCTAATCCATTCATGATGGTAAACTTGAGTTTTAACTGTTAATGAAACCTGGGTTGACTTACTGGTTATCGAGCAGTGGTTTATGGTTGCTTGTTCTGGACGGGAGACTCCGCGTTTCCGTCCTGATGATCTCTGATGTTGTTCCACTGATTGTCCGCCTGAATAACCTCTTACTTGGTGACCTGAAAAAAACCAAAGGTCAAAGGGAATATGCAAAACAGGTCCTAAATTACAACAGGCTAATTACACTAAGAAATGTTCACTTCTTTTCTTGTTAAATGCAATTCAGAACTGTAACATCCTCCTTTCTTTCGTTTAATGCCGGCCATGCAGTGAACTGTTTTGTTTAAATCTGTGTCGTTTAAACTCAATGGGAGACTTTGAGACACTCGTGACAGCACATATACATTGGTTCTTTTCACAGTATGTGCGTACTCGGAACTACAGACGCATAATCAGAATGATGCTCAAAAGTGGTGAAAAGGACAGGTATGTTTGACGCCACCAAGAGTTTCAAAGTTTGCCCCTGGCTTAATGCTGCAACGGCCAAATTCTCAGGACTAAGAGTTCAGGCAGTTGTGTTGGTACAGAAATCTTAAGAACAAAATCTCTGCATTTGCAGTGTGTTGGAGCAAGGAGCCGCATTTACGGTAGCCAGGCACATGATGCGGCGTGCATGCACACAGAGAGCTTGGTGAATTGTGGGATGGTGCGTTGCTTGGACTCTCACTCTGTGGCTCTAATGCAGTGCTTTGGTAAACAATTTTCAGGCAAGCAGGCACGGTCAACAGAAGACCAGGTATATGTTTACCATGCAGCCTGATGAAAGCTGCAGGTTTCCTGGGGTGAATCGTATCTAGAGATTGTTGTAACAGAGCTTGAATTGATCCCTGCCAAGCTCTGAGTTCACTTCCCAGAACAAAGGGACCCATTTCTGATTGTTCAAAGAATTGACAGTATCCTACAGATCCACAATCTCTCCCCAGACTACAATCCTCCGGGAATCTGGGAAAATACAGTGTTTACAAACAGTAAGTGACCCTGATTATGAGAGCTATTACAGCATCACAAGCCAATGGAAGCATCTTACACAATGATTTCTAAGAGGAGCTAATATCTAGGACCTATATTTTAATGTCTTAGCTCCTCAATTCTGCCCACTGTTCCTGTTCCTAGAATCTGCCAAATCACTTTCACATTTGCTCAGTTCTCGTTATCCTATGGTTCTATTCTCAGAAAAAGGAATTCCATAAAGAACTGTTGGTTCTTCAAACAACCAAAAAAACCAAAAAGAACCAAATAAAAAAACCAAAACACCAATATTTAAAAGAACCTTCAGTTCTCACAATAGTAGTAGTTCTCTCAAGAACCATCTTGATATCACTGAAATATACAATCCTGCCAACACAAGAGGAGACGCGTGCACATCGTGTTTCACCATACCCAGCAGGGGAACATACAACAAGCTTGCATGCAACAACCAACATGCCTCTACCCGGTGGCGTGTATTACCATTCTACGGGGACGTACGCGCCGCTGCATTTCCTCGGTGTGTATTTGGCCGTCTTGGCCACGCCCCCACCACCACCACCACCGCTACACTGCGGGCTCCCCATGACCACGCAGGGGATGTCGGCTATCAGGCAGGGGGCGCTAGACAACCGGTGAATGCCCAGGAGCTGGGGGGCCCGAGCCGACAGGCAGGGACTACGGGGGACGTAGGAGGAGCGGGACGGGGTAGGCAGGGTGGAGAAAGAGCTGTGGATTAAGACTGGGTTAAAATGTGGGACAGTACTAGGGTGGGCAAGTTAGAGGGTAGGTTGAAAGGTTGGTGGGGAAAGGTAGACAAGTTAATGACAGGATGATGAGAGTACTACAGGGGTTAAGTTTTAATTGCAACAGGTTTAAAGAATAACATTCTCAAAAGGTAAAATGTTTCAAACAGGCAATGAGCTATAAATGAAACATACTTTCATTCTACAAACAAGAGTAGCAACATTCTAGTGTATGCAAATTTATGATGTAAATGGATTCGTGAGGCTGACCCCCCCTTCCACCACCAGTGCAACGATGCTGTATTTGGGGAATACCCTTTTTGAAAGTTCCCAGATATCTTGACATTCTACTGAGGCACACACGAGGCTTCTGTTTATTTCAACACCAAAGTGCAATAATGGTTGTGTTCACACACGATAGACCAAAACCATCTACCATTGTCTGACCACCAACGACAACAAAATACCACAATGAACTGAGGCAGAAACTTTTGTGCATAATAAAAGAAACAAATACACCGAGAGTTTTCACATCTGGGAGTGCAAGCTCCTGGGAAGAACGTCTGGTGATTCCGTTACCTTTGGAATTCCCGTTCTTTGGAGGCTAGTCGCCTCTTGGCGTCCTCCACCGTCTGATATTCCGTTCTCCCGCTAAAAGAAGAGAGAAACCATTCAAGTACACTTTGAATTTGGTTTCTTCTTTTATAGACTTTGACCTGGTTTCTAAGATTTGAAGGAAATTGAGAAAGGATGTTTAAGTTTAGAGTAGATGAGGCTATCAGTTTCATTAGCGACAGTTCTCCAGTTGGAACTGTGGGCAACAGGGTCCTGAAGGGGGTGTCTAGGTCTCAAAAAAATCTCTTTGAGACTGAACATGGGGATTGTCCTGGTGGAGTGAAAGTTGGGGTTTTTAACGGGATTTCTTAAAAGGGACTTTTATCCAGAAGAGACCAGACAGATTTCTCAGAAATGAAAAAAAAATTCACCCCAAAATGATGCAATGACTTTGAGACATTTTCCACAGGTGCGAGCACCATCTCTTTTTACAGAATGGAAAGAAAAATAACGAAACTTTCAAATCTGGATCATAACTTGTCTCAATAGGACCCTCACCTATATCTGAACTTGGAGCCCAGTTGGAAGAAGACTCGTTTCTTAGGCTGCGGCTGAGGTTCTACCAGCCTGAAAAACGTGTGGTGCTCAACGCAAGACTTCCACAGGTTCTTGCAATGTCGGTAGCTGGCCATGTTGAAGCCAATCACTGTGTCTCTTGTCTCGTGCTGTGGAAATGAAAGTAAGGAGAAGTTAATGCGAGGCATCGTCTCAAACGATGACTTTCTTTCTGGCTGCAGGTTCGTCTCTAGAACATTCACACACTCCACTGTTCCATCGAATGAGAAACCCTCCCCTAACAAATGCCCCTCCCCTTACCAGCTCCCGTCTTTGGCAGATGAAGAATTGCCTCCTCTTGAAGGAGATCTTGATGATCTTGGCCCAGGAGAAGGTGTTGATGCGGACGTTGTTTTGGAAGACGACGATGCCTAGCGACGTGATGCCTATCTGGATCTCGAGCCCTGACTGGTCCTGGAGGAAAGGAATGATCCAGGTGTGTCGTGAGGATGAGAAGAACCACATCCTCCAATGGAAAATAAATCTCAATCTCGGACACTGCCTTACTATGAATCCCTGACGAGAGTGTGAACGAGAAAGGAGCTGCTACGTCATAAAACAGGCTGTGATGTGGTATCTGGCCTAGCTATAACGTCCATCTAAGTAGCTGGCAAAGATATAAAGCCAACAAGAGGACAGTGACTAAGATAAATATGGATATTGGAATTGGTGACTAGATAAGTGGATACAGAGGGTAGACTTGGTGGATAGTGGATATGGTGGACTATTCAGGTGCTGAATAATATGTCCCCAAGGATTACAATGGATAATAAATTTGTGGATGATGGACTCCTGTAATAATGGCTGTCACAGTTATTGGTGACTTCAATTGTTGGATGACTAAGTGAATGCATTACCCTTGCATTGTGGAAGTCAACTCCATATTTCTCCAAGTTCTTCACTTTCTGAAGGAAGTTAAACTCGGCGTCAACGGGCAGCTGACCACTAGATTAATAGAAAGAGAAAAGGAAACATGACGTTCTTATACACAAAAAACAAGCAAAGAAACTACACACCAATGAACTGAATTCAGAGCGGTTAAAATGGCAAAACTGGTACCCTTTAGTCAGTGGACATCCTAAACTACACTGTTCATTTGTAAAACTGGTACCCTTCAATCAGTGGACATCCTAAACTAGGCTGACAATATTCAGCACAGCCAGACTTACAAGTTTGCCTTGTGTAGGTGCTCCACTTCACGGGTGAATTCTTCAGTCTGGTCGGGAACGAGGTTGAAGTTCTTGAGGTAACCCTGGGGATGTTCCTCAGGGTCATAATCACCCAATTCAGCTGAAGAGGTGCAAATATCATAATAATTGTGAGATGGATATGAAATTCAGTTTTTGTTGGGAATTTGTTACCATCTGAAATAGAAAAAACTGCTTTCAAAGCTGAAGAAAATCTGCGTATGTGAAACATTTTGTGAAAAGGGTCAAAGGTACACATATGCAATTATGGGCATTCACATACCAAGGAGTTGATTCCATGACTGTATCTGAGGTAAGGATAGGTATTCTTACCTTGGAGGAAAAATTTGCTTAATATAGTGACAAAACAATAGAAATCGCATGCAACCGTAAGCAGAACCACGCCAAGCACTAGCAAGGTTTTCTGAGGTGGTACTGTATTAAGCACAACTTTTCTGCTAACTGTTAATCAATGCCATTAAATTTGGCCGTTTGGGTGGCAGAAGAGTCAAGAGAGGCACGGAAAATGTTGGATAAGACGTGGAGAGCTGAAGGATTGAGTTAATGAGAACTCAAGGGAATAATGTGTCATTGTTCGGGTCTATTTCAAAAGTCTCAATGCCCGTAATGTAGACAGCTATCCGTACCAAGATAGTACTAAGAATACACGTATTGGAAATTTAACCAATTTCCTTCCCCCCTCCGAAAGATGACATTTTGAGGGGTTGGCCGTGTGAATGAGTCATGGGTTTTCTTCAAACAACCGCAGCCATATAATATCGGTGGGATTTAACACAGACAGTGTTCTGAATATGCTACTTCTGACCTTTTGGAAAAAAAAATTTCTCTGAAACCACTGACCTTGTACAATGTATGAAGCCAGAAGTGCCGCCATGTTGAAGGAACACGTCAGCCTGTACAAAGGGGAAAACGAGGGGACAAAAGGAACGCAGGAAATGATTAATATCACTACTCGGGACCAGGACGAAGACCGTATGGTGGTGATATAAGGAACTGGCTTTTGTTTTCCTTGGATTTCATTACCAAACTTGCTTCTCTTGTGTCAGTGTCCCAAAGTCTGCAGGAAACTCTGCGGCCAATTGGCCTCATTCCCTAGTCGGCCATCTTGGACTGCAAGTCAAATGATGCCTGTAAAAACTGGAAGTGGGTGTTTGCCATTCGATTCATACAGCTCCTATTGGACAGAAGGTTTTGAACCTGAATGTGAACTGCATTCAGAAAACACCACTCTGTATATGCTGAGGACTTGCACACAACAAGTAAATTAGCTGGTGCGTCCAAGCAGGTTGATGAATTGAACATACAATGTGCATGTTTACTGACAGAGATAGCAATAGGAAGGATCAAACGGGTATTCACTGGGCCTGTTTGTTTCCCACAGATCCAAATCTTGATCAGTGCTCTGTTGTTGGTTCACTGATACCAGAACCAGTTCAATGGATGAAGGGAACCAGCTTTGGGATGACTGGTTGAGATCCAGATCCATGTGAAGCAAACAGGCCAACGGAGCACTTTCAACAAGCCCTCAGTTCTTGGAACGGCGACAGAACAGGAACAAAACTAAGGAACAGCAGGAACAACTAGGAAAATCAGGTCACTGAATGTCGCTTCGATGGCTTCTCTGGGTTAACACCACTTTTACACTGATTAATATGACGTTGTTGGTATCTCTGACTGACGAAGTGGCATAGGGCAGGAATGGAAAAAAACACACCCACTGGCCAGCTCTTCAGCTAACTGGAAGATATTCTTTTACTCTATGAACGGACTTACACATACATGTATGTGCTTCCAGTTTAATGGAACACAAATAAGAGAGTGACACCTCCGAACGTAGGGCTGAAACTGCTCACGGCTATGTCTGGGTATATGAGACAGAGACTCGGAGACAATGTCAGAGAACAATCCTTAAATCAAGTCTAGCCTGAGCGAAATGAGAAAGCGACAGCATTTATACACCCTTATAAAGGGTATACTCATTTTAGTGAGTATCCATTGAGATCATGACCCTGGGGTTACTGATGCAAGAACTCTGGCATGTCCTTCGCTAGGTTACTTGGAAGGGGAGGGGTCAGTGGCAATGAGGTGTGTACAAGCATGCTAGATGATACAGGGAAGACCTTTGAGTACTGGTGGGTTGTATATGAGAGGAGCCTGCTACATTTCATACGTCAAATTTCCTTCTTACACCAGAATTATTCACCAAACAGAAAATACAGAGGGATAAAAAAAACTTAGGTTTGTTTACTGTGGCGATCTTGAAAAGAGCCGGGTTTCAATCTGGGTTTCAAGTCCAGACCTTTTCTCACCGTTGGCCCTTCCTAGAGCCAAGAATTTCTTCCCAGAAGAGATTGTGCCCGTGGTGTAGCAACCAACAATATTTCTCCGATTCTGAATTGAGCCTACAGGTCATCTGAACTCAAGGCACGATGGTGACGGACAATGACAACATTACTACCGGGTAGTGAGGACAAATACGCTTCCAATTTCCATTGGCAAAAAAAAAAGACCTTGCACGGATTCATGGAAAACGGGAAATTCTAACGTCATTTTTTCAAAAGTCCCCCAGAGTTGCCGAAATGAGCTGTTTGGTAAACAGTACTAACAAAGATCCTTTTCCTTATTCTCAGGTGAGAAGTTTGACAGTGATAGCGGAAAGGAAGGAATTCTGGGATCAAGGTCAGGTCACTGTGTAGGACGTCTCTCTGTGGTCATTCCACCTTCACAATGTTCAACATAGATTTGCTTGAGGATAGTCTGTCACTTTGACTATGAAACACCCACACTCCATAACCTAAACATATCTAGATTTCATGATCTGCTTGTTAAAGAATTCGCAGGTATCATGACATCTACCAGTGTGGCAAAGGGAAGATCGGGGCGGGGGGGGACAAAGGACCCTTTTTTAAGTAACGAGAGAAAGCAAATATACAATGGTCTGTTCAGTTCCCTCCCTTTGAAAAGTGTGTAAAAAGCCCCACAAAATGTGGCTTCACCCTTCAGAAAGGTTACATGTAAAAATGTCCGAATATTTTGCCCCTCCCCCAAAAAAGGCCCCTCCCTCCCTTCAAATGTAGTTCTGGATCTGCCCTTTTGTAAATCCACAACTTTAAAAAACACAAATAAATGTAGTATACTTTTGGCTCTTCTGAATGGTCAAGAATTCTACAGGGTTTGAGTGGTTTCTAGAGAAAACATTGAGACTGAAGTGTGAATGAGCATGTCATTTATTCTCAGGAGATCAAACCTTATGAATTGACACTGTCCTATGCTGTTTAACTCTGATCAGGAAACATCTGTTCATTGAGTGAGCTACACTGGTCAAACTCTTTCACAGAGTAACAGGAAGTGAAAACAAAAGCAGTCCTAAAGGAAGAAAAGAAAGCAAAATATCTCTACCTAAAACAAACAAAGTGAGTTGGCCTAACTTTCTTATCAACAGAAATAAAACCACAACTAAACTGTGCTTAGATCTTCGAACAACATCTAAAAACTAGAACACGGACAGATGGTTCTGCTTTCATCCCAAAAGGTGAACCTAACTTCCCCATACTGTTTCCTCTCATAAAGGAACAAGCACGGCGTCAATCTGAATATATGAGTTTTAAAGGCAGGGTTGAAATTGGACGATTTACAAAACATCAAACAGAGGAATTTTTTACAATTACAACAATAAGGCTGTCACTTTTCACAGCTTTCAGTGGCTAATAATACTTGGGTTATCTCCCATTCATGCACAATAGTGACTGAACTGGGTCTTGGACAGAAGACAAGAAAGTACCGAAAGTCCCAATAATTTAACCTACCTAAATCCAGAATTTGACATCACAAACCCAAGGAAATCCTGAAAATCACGCCCAGAAATGCTAAATACAGAAACAAAGCTCAACTTTGGAAAAATGCCAAAAACTTTGAGAAAAAAGAATGAAATATTTCTGGTCTTCCTTGCCAACTAATGTCATTCCCCATGTGACAAGTCAAGTTTATGCATCCATAAAAAATATCTCTTCAAAAAAGAGCTGATATCTGGTTAGGTTACAGCATGTTAAATGACATACGATCCCATTGGGCCAGGGATTGGTTTATGGGCCGTGTCAAGCTAGATACACACTGTGATATGAGCAGGAAATCACACCCTACAAATAGCAAATTGAAATAGAAACTATCTGATGATGGACAATTTCCAAAAATACTATTCTCAAAACTGAAACTGGAGTCAACAAACGATCCCAAAATGGAAAGCACTGGCAAGAGACACAAACCAGTATTAGTGATTCATGTCCAAATATTACGACACACGACCACCACTTATCATGTATACCCATGTACATGTACCTCAATGGTCGGGTTTTTCCGTACATAAAAGCTATTCTAAACACTAAATATTGTAGTTGTTACACCCTTTTATACAAGATGACATGTACACTGTATTTTCGTGATTGATAGATTAACCTAGCAACTTCCGGAACATGTATTCTTCCAAAGTGTCGATGTATTTTTGATTGTTCAATTATATCCTTCATACATGGCTCTTTCACAGAATAAAACGGGAAGTGTGACATTCCTATTTGAACTGGTTTATCGTCATTGAAATTTATCCCTAAAGGCTTTATTATTAGGAGACAGGGAAATTTATTATCTTTAAGATAATTATCCAAGAGGAAGTGAATCAGCCTTGGAGAAAACGTCTACATTCCTTCATTTTCATGATCAGAGAAAATAGCAAATTGACAGTCTGCAGATGCTCAATCGTCCTGCATTCATCCTCATGAACTTAGACAAGAGACCTGACATCAATTCCATGAAAAAAAAAACAAAAAAAACGAAGCCCAAAACAGCTTATCGAACTAAAAAGGCTGGCAGAGACAGAGGGTAACATTTCATTCTCATGCAAGGGAGCAATCAAGATGGCTGCCACACGATCAGCCTCTTATCGACGATGCCATTCTGGACCTATCAGCCAGGACAGGTCAATGACTATCGCGTCTGTGCCAGGAATGGATGGTAATTCTTCTAATGTCCCACTTCCTTGGCCGTCCTCTTGATGTAAACAACAAGACATCATCTGCTGTTGGCGCTATAAAGTACACATTTTGTAGCTTACAGATAAGAACTACATGCTCATCTTCTTATATATGCATGGAAAGCACGCTAAAATTTTTCGATTGGATTTTTTTAGCGGTAGCGTAGTATGAAAAATATGTAAGGTTGAAACTGTAAGTCTTCACATATTTGCTACGTGATGTTGTGGGGATAAAAATAGACTGTATTTGAAGAGATGGCCAAACACTTGAAGGATGGCTTTTTTCTCATTATCGTTAACCAAAAATGACGATGTAGAGGTTTTGTCAACAACGCAGTAAATGTGGGTGGACGTCGTAAAGACATGGTTTGCTTTTAATGCCAGGAGAGAAGAAATGATTCTCTGTAATGTTGAGCTTCCTGGTCTTATTCCTTTATCAAGAGCAATTCAGATTGTAATCAATCATGTCCGGCTCATAATGGTATTTGTGATCAACTTCGTCTGAGAGCACTGTCAATCACACAATAACTTAGACCTTTGAGATCAGAATACAACCCATGTCTTTGCTGAGTAGGTTTATACAACGTACTGGTACAAGCCGCTTCAAAGCAGTCAGGCTGATTTTGTGGTGACTTGCTCGTCCTTCACCACTGTGACCTAGATTCAAATCCAATTTATAGACTGGTTATTCAATGCCTTCTCATTTCTATTACGTTGCCCAAATGCAAACATTTTTGCTGGAAATTTTCCTTCCTTTCTTCCATTTTTTTTTCATCATATTCTCTGTGCACCACCATAAGATTCCTGAGCTCAATGCTGTAGAAATACTTTAGAAATCCTTTTTTCAAGATGTAATTACTGAACCATGTTTGAAAACTTACAATATCCTACAGAATGTTAGTGGCAAATAAATTATGCTGTGCATATAAAACTGTATCCAGGCCATTACTGGTATTACACTTTGCACTCCTGTTAACTTCACTGCAGTGGTGGTACCAATGCCCTTCCTGGGGGCATGCACCCGTAATGTCAAGTACCACATATCACCTAATTGACTATTCTGAAGATGGTCATTTTGTTGGGGACACCCAATGCCAGCGATGCTGCCTTTAAGCAACCGTCCAGCCTCGTCTGCCATCTGGCAGATGGGGTAAGTCACTTGTCTCCATGGTAAGACATTTGTGGGTATTGATGGATGCGTAAGCCCTGTGCTGATCGTGACGGCTCAGAGAGAATCTGCAACGCTTAATTTAAAGCCAAGGACACGCAGACGGGACTACGTAATCGTAACTGGAGAAGTCCTAATTTCTGGAAAATTTGCAGTACCGCCCCATTTTTTCTACTTGCTTTGATATGTACATGTAAGGTGTGTAACCCATCACTGATGATACAAACAGAACATTATTTCTTTAATTGACAGAAAGGGAAATCAAGGCTTGTGTTTTTACTTTTTTGAAGAAAAAAGCTTGAGATGACTGGTGAACTGAAAACCTACATGTAAACAGGCCAATTTAAGAAAAACAAAACAGAAAAACAAAAAGCCATTTGTTAGAGTGAATGGAATCCTTCTCATTTCTAGTTTCAAGAGACTCGAGTCCATATCTATATTTGACATTCAGCTCAGGGGGTTGCTTTTTATCATAACAGCTGACAATTGGAACATGAGTTCTATCAAAAACTTATTCCACTGAGATTTTTTTTAATCTTAAAGTAAGACCTCCAAAATAAGTGAATTCACTTCAAAAGCAGATGTAATCATCTTCCTCCACACTGGTGGGGTGGCTAATGTCAGTTCCCCTAAAAACCTCCAAACTAGTTTGGACAAACAAATCTCTTCATGCAGCTGTGAAGTTGGGTGCATTTTTAAAAATAGAGGAATACTCCTCATGCATGAAACATCCTAACCCTCAAAAGTCTATTCATGCCTTCCCCCAAGACAGAAAAGTGCAACCTCCAAGATAGCAATCTCACAATGGACCTGGTATATTTAGCATCTGCATCAACAAGTCACAGTTAACTTTAAATTCAAATGAAGTGATCAGAAATGACAAGAGGAGGTGCGGATTTAACGGTGATTCATAATGAGATGTTGATTGGATAAAAACAGGATGGCGTTATAAGGAATAAGAAGAAGATATCACTTAATACATGTACAAGTGACGCCTCATCTGTGACGTCATAGCACATTAGGTTATACAAACAGCTGTCCGCACAGGTTGGTATGGATTGTGTTCTGCGGAAAATTAAATTGATTAATCATCCATGGTCAATTATCTCCTTGGAAACACCCATTCGGGTTCTTTTGTTGCCATAGTTTCAGCTACCGACATGCAGAGCAGTAGGTGCCTGTTTCATGAACATTCATAGGCAGTGTTGACTAACACTGGCAGATGTAATCACTAAATAGCGCTTGATAGCAAATAGCAAATAGGTACATGTACATTTACTCCCACTTGCCTATATCCACCAAGAGGTACACGTGTGTACAGGTCCCTAGTACCCACCGTACCTGTGAGAGGAACGAGGTTTGTTTGATTAGCTGTTTGCATCTGAAACGGCACCATGGAGCTGTATACTCCCCAGGGAGCTGAGATGGTTTCAGAAATGTTCATAGGTCTAGCGGGCAGGAATAATGATGTGACAGTGTCTTCAAAACCACTTAGGGATGATATGTCCGCTTTATAAATACCAGTTATTATTGATATTATTATGGCAATGTCAAGTAGTACTCTGGAAGCCAGATTACACTGCACTCTGTGACCAGCAAGCATGAAGCTGATAAACCCACAGTTTTTGTCTCTCTCATCTGCCAGTGCTTTTTATTTGGGAGGCTATTTTGGGTAGTCTCTTTCATCTGTAAACCCGACTGCTTCCATTAGACAGGTATTGCATGTAAGGATGTGCGTGGGTCAGGCTGTGATTCACGCTTGGTGCAACGTTTCTCTGCAATCACATCTGAGGTAGGGTAGACAGCGGGAGCTACCGTCGCTTATCACGTATCTGTCGTTATCTTCCTCCGACAGGTTTTTGCGGTGAGGTGGACAGGCTGCTGTGGTTCAGACGCTTCTAGGGGTATCACTCAGCCAAGAATGGAAATTCCAAAGGTGAATGGAAGTGATGGTATTTCTGAAATTAGCCCCTGGGTCCTGAGGCATTTTCAGTGAGAACCACAATGATTCCTCCAAGATCCTCCACTATGCAGGAAACCAACAGCATATTCTTTCAACAGGGCAATAAACTCCATGTGAAGGAACGTCTGAAATCTACATTCCTCAATCCTACAAAGTCCTCCAAACCTTCACGTAGATTCTAAAAGCATCAGAGAGTTAAAATTTAAAGTTGTTGATCCAATGTTATACTGAAGTGAAAATTTTGACAATCTTAAATATTTATGTAGAAGCTTTCTTCCCTAATGCTCAGAACAGCAATTTTTAACCCAAGAGACTGGATGAAAGTTGTACATGTAGCTTGTTTACTCCACCTGCTGTTCCAATCCTAACCTCACGCTACAGGTTATAAGGCTTTGGACAATCTGATGACAGATTGGGACATCTGAGGGTGTCTATCCTTACCTTCCTTCCAACAAGTCCTTCCTCAGATACAAGACGTATTGGTATCTGGTGTACTCCTCCTGGAGTTTGCTTGGGTCTGAGACAAAGAACTTGACGGCAAAGGTGAAATACATCGGTCCTGAGTTACCAACAAATAAAAAAGCTGCTGTTGTAAAATTCACCCAAAACTAAAGATGGCATGACCTTGAAGATTATAGGGCAAGACTTGATTGAAAATAGAACAATATTTTTTATATTAATAGCACTTTGATGATACTGGCCCAATATCCAGCGACAAACTTTCATCTTGCAAGTACAGCCTCACTTTGGTTTCATAATGATGATTCTATTCCGAAGAGCAAATGAACCTGGGCCCACCTGGAGGCCCTCACTGACCTTTGACCTGTTTTCGGATGGACTTCATGGGGTCCAACCATCTCTTAGAGTCGGCGTTGGTCAAGCTGTCCGAGTAGCGCAGGCCAAAGTAGTCACATTCTATCAGGTCCAGGTGGTTGAAGACCAACTCTAGCAAGATCTGGCCCTTGGCTCGCCTCTGCAAAAGAGGAACAAAGAAAGGGGTGTGAAAAATGAACTACGGACAAAAAGTTTTTGGAAAGGCCCAAGCATTTGAAACAGCTTGTTTTGCTGGCAAGAGAAAATGCTTAATGTACACATTCCATTCTCTGTATGGATGAACCTGGGCAGAATAGGACACCTTGGAAATGTGGTTGATGGGACAGCTAATGAAGGAAAGGTCCACAAAATACCGTAAGTTCCATCAATTAACCAACCTAGAAAAACGAGCCACATGTCGCCAGAGCCATAAGTAACATTTTCAACAAAGACCCTGACAAGAATCTGGTATGATATCAACCAGTAAGAACCCACAACAGTTTTCACCCACATAGTGTATGTTATCAGCAGGATACCAAACTGAGTAATACATACCAGTACATCAAATAGCTCAGTTGTTTCTATCAAAACAAACTACAACCGAATTACTGAAGAAATGGCCTTAGGACTCTTTTCGTGGGATCATATCACAGGTTCTTAGCAAACGATCATCTGTTCCCAGAACTTCTCTAATCCATCCCAGGCAGAGTCTCTTTAAGGTCTCGCCTGATATGACTCATCCTCATGAAAATGATGAGGAGGCACCCTGAGTGGACGGACCGCAAGGAACAAGATGAGAAGGGGGGGTGCCTACGCTCAAAGCTGAGGCCTCCAAGAGGTGACGTGAGGACTGATAGCCATCTACGTATCCACTTAACATTCAATTTGGTAGAGTGATGATCATTAAAAGATGCTGTAATAATTTTATGAAGTGTGCCGGGTGGGAACGAGGTTACGTGTTGAGGAAGGGGAATAGGAATCTCCAACTACAGTTGTAAATCCATTCAAAGTGGAGAACTTGGCGAGCTTCTTATCTGAGCAATTTAATGTCACTGAGTAGAGAGACATATCCCACAGGGCATGTTTCACAGAACCTTCATTAAAACTACATGCACATGTGCCTGCAAGGAATGATACATGTAGGTGAGAGACAGATGCGCCTCTGCATTTCTGATACCCGCCATCCACGTTTCTTTCAACAACAACATTTTGTTTTTCCCTTTATTTTGCCTATCAACTTGCAACCTACATGTACTCTTTCCCATCCCACGCCAAACATACATCCATGGAGGCTTCACGCAGGTCAACATCGCAAGATGCATGTACACACTCCAGTGTGTGAGACAGTTACATTACAAAAGGTACATGCACTTTTCACCTTAAAAGTGGGTGGGCGTTGATTGCGAAAGCCCATAAGACACATCAAGAGCAAACCTTAAAAAGCCTTTGGAATTTCTTGGAAATAGTTAAGCAATTACATGTACATTCCTGATGAAGCAAGGGGGATCTCAGTGAAGTTAATGTCTAAATCAAGGGGAAAAAAACCTTCTTTATGGGAATATTTTTAAGAGGTTGCCAAGGCCAAGGGATAAGAGATGCCTCCTTTCAAGCCTGGGCATAGAGACAGTTCTGCAGATGTCAAGAAAGTACATGTATGGCTATCTCCCACTCGTACTGGCTCTCATAAGCACTAGACAGAATGAGACCCCCAAAGGACCCTCTACTGATCCCACCGGTAGCATGAATGTGCAAAAATGGGGGACGGGGATGTACCCACTTTTTGTGAAACAACTTGTGACACTGAAACCTCTACCCATGAAGTCACTTCTGAGATCACAAATACCACAATTTCAATATTGCCACGAGTCACGAACACCCTTGAAATGGCAAGAAAAAGGATTACAGTAGTGAAAAATGGAAGACAGGTGCATGCCAAGGATTCAAGTACATGTACAGGGTGCTTTAAATGTTCAGTGACTCTCTATGCAATAATGGGAAACTTCCATGTAACAATGGAGCAAACCTTTAGGGGTATGGGGAAGGGGAAAAAGAAGCCTGACAGGGGAGCTATTTATGTACCTCCAGGGTCTATAAAAATGCTGAATCCAGGAGACAACCTCCCACATCCTCCAACTGGCCCCGCCTGTAAATTACAGCTTAGTCATGTATCAACCCAGGAGACCGGAAGTGTCCACAAATCAAATTGATCCCAGCGACTTCCTTCAGGATCTTGATCTTCAAGTTCCATGATTTTTTTCACCGAGTATTCGTGGCTTTGTACAAATACACTGTACAGATTTACATGTTCAACAGAAATGCAATCTCTGACTGGATCGATTAACTGAGTGATCGGTCAGTTGATTGAACAGTCAATCAATCAGCCTTTTTGCATTTAGATAAGTTTAAAAAATGTTTAACGTTTACACTAACATGTAAGTCTTGGCTTACTGCAATACTAAATTGAATTCAAAGCAATTCCTTTTTATAAAAAAACATTTACACATGTACTTTGGTGAAATTTATTGAATATTCACTGATGTACATGTACAGGTGTTCAATTTGTTAAATCTGAAGGAACATTAAGCTCTCAAACCACAGCAGGAAATTACAAGGATAAAAGAAAGAGACAAAGGGAAGGAACCTGCCTGCATGATTCCTGTTAAGAGCACCAAGGTATCACAATGAGAATGTTCTTGAGAGAAGTACACGCTTCATTGATTATGACAGTTGACAATGTGATCAAGTCCAGATTTAATTACACTTGAGGGAGGGGAGCTGGCGGTTTGATGGGATCTCCAGACTCCTAAGAAGGCAGAGGGTGGTGAAAGAAGGTCCAGGCAGATTAAAGGGGTGTGCCACAGTGGGACTGGATGCTTTGAAAAACACCCGCAGGCCTGTAACTTGAACTGAATACTTGTAGGATGTCCGAGTTGTTACAATACAGTATACATGAACACTGCGTGCTTAAGCGGCACAGGGTACATGGACATATTGGAATGACCGACATGGCTAACTGGCTGTCCAAAGGACATGTAAAAATCTTTCTGGCTGGGGGGAGGGTCCTTGTCTCAATGTATACATGTACAGGTACCTGTCAGAAGCATTGGACAACTGGAACAGGAGCCAATTGAAGGTACATGTAAATCAAAACACGCACACACCGTACATTTGCGGCATCTCCATGCAGTGACCTGAGTTTTGCCACGATTAAAAAAAAAAACAAACAAAAAAACCTACATGTATTTTTGTCCCTCATGGAATCTGACTTCATGTACCGGTACTGTGAATGGCATATTTGTGGCCTGTCACTGAACCTACTGGGTTGGGTGTTCATTGTACCATGGAATTTCTACCGACATTCAATTCTGAAGCAACAATCCAGACACATTTATCATCCTCAACCACATGCGCCTATCTCTCCTCCATGCACATGTAATCTCACCTGCCTTCTTTAGCCCGGATATATCAGTCACACCACCCACATTTTTTCTGGCAGCTTTGCTTGAAGACTAGAGGAGCTGTCATATCAATATAGCGCCATAGAGCATGACAGATGTGGGAGATATGAATGGTGGAATTCTAGGCATGTGACAGGCTTTAAGCCTGTTCCATTTGTATGAGGATATCGGATGTGCACCGCTGGGCCAAGAGTTGGGACTGTCAAAACCCTGAAGCCAGTTGTCTAAACAGATGCCTGGGTGCACTATCAGCTATTGGAGATGTCTAGATATCTTGGGATCAGTGCTGTAGATAGTCTCACATGGGGGTAAATTTGCATTGTACATATTACTTATTCATGTACCCGGTACCTTTCCCCCCAAAAAATCCCTTTTTCTCCTTTTTGAGTATACAGCTGCTTGTTCCTTTTCTTCAAATCCTCATGAGATATAGACAGGCACATGTACATGTAGTTTAAATGTAAACCAAGCACACGTGGTATGTATGCACATTGTACGATGTACATGTACTGTACAAGTAGGCATTCAAACTGCTTCTATGGTGGCCCTAAAAGGACATGAGAGCTACAAATTCCCCATTCCTTGTTACCTTTTGCATGCATGATCTTATACTCGCATATAGGATCTACGTGAAACTATTCAAAGCTGGCCATGTGGCCTGCTTGCCAGAACTAGGTAATAGACATCCCCATGTCCAGGGCAACTCTACTGTATTTATACTCATTTCGATGCAAGTTTACAATTACCACTCATCGTATGGTATAAAGTGAGCCCGAAACCACAGCAAGGTGTGAGAGCCCTCTGTCAACAACAGTGTGGGCATGCGACTGTACATGTACATGTAACTGGCGCAAACTGCCCTCATCTAACTTTGTTTAAGATTGTCACCACTGCAGGGCAAAGTGACAGTGGGTGCAGAACTCTTGTGCATGTCTGAAAAATAGTTTCAACAAGCGCAACTCTATGAGCTCTTCAATTTCTTTTGTCCGACGGATGAATATTTTATCTAGTTCTGTCTCCACTAAAGAAAGCATGAAAACATCCCATTTACTGGTACATGTACACGTATGTACACTGTACAATAAAAGTATCGATACTTATCAATATGTGAATGCATGTCAAGAATGCTTACATGTACATATGCATACTATGTATCAATAAAAAATGACAGCGTCTGGAGTGGAAGTGACTCACTCTTCTGAAAACACTGCTTCTAATTTGGGATCCCCTTGCACTTCGCATGCACAATTCTCAAGAGTGTTATATGTACAGGTGCATGTGAACACACACACCTGTCCCTCCCCTTAGCCCTCCACATTTAGGGTGACTATGAACATGTGCATGACATTTACACACCTGACATGCATGTATTGGTGTCAGTGAATCGTTCTGTTTCAGTTAAAAATGATATTTACACGTGTACACGAATGAGAAGTCATTCTCTCTTGAGCTAAATCTGTCATCACGTGCCCATCATGTTCATGTACCATACACATACATGTATGTACATGTACATGCACATGTACATTGTACAAAGTACATTTTCCTCCTTAGTCACGTTCTACATGTGCAAGTACATGCATGTACCATACATGTACTGCAGGCCTACATGTCCAAGCTGTAACTGATGGGGCTGCCATGTTTTGTCTGTTGAGTGCTCAACTGGCAGGTGTCATGCCAACTGCAAACAACATGACCCTATCTTCAAAGGTTACCCGCTGCACTTTGGACTCTGGAGGAGGTCATGCTTACAGTGAGTGAGTCATGTACCTGTACATGTAACTCCAAGCTTCTCAAAGTACAGAACAATCTCGCTTCTCCTCTTCCAAAAGCATAATGTACATGTACATGTAACTCCAAGCTTCTCAAAGTACAGAAAAATCTCACTTCTCTTCCAAAAGCATAATTCCCGACCTGCTCCAAGCTGATCCACACAACTTGCCAATTTATTATCAATCAAGGGGAACGGGTTTCAGCTTGTTGGGTGATCAGATCTGGTTGTGGGGGTGAAGGACAGGTGATGAAATAGTGTGCCTGTCAAAAATGAATTGAAAGGTGGAGGGGGGGTGGGTGACATTTTTCAAGAACAAGTCTGGGTGTCGATAGCTAGGCGCACAATAGCATACTCCTGACGTGTGTTATTGGGCACACACGTCACAGATGTACATGGGATTGGAAGCCTTCTGGAATCATTCACTGCACCACTGAAGATTTATTGGAAGCGAAGAGACACCACATGTTCATCATGTTCCATTCCTTCAGGAATGAGTTACGCTTACATATTGTACCCAACCAAGTTAGAGAAACATAAGCCAGCTGTTTGAGGCAGATAAATATTTTGGTTAGGGGAGGGGCTGAAGACTTGACACTGAGTGTCTCTTTGCAGGATTCAAAGATCGGCGGACGATGGAGACATTTTAATTCAATGTCAACGCTGTTTTGACTGATGCCGGCTTGAGCACATTTCAGCTACCGGTACATGTAGCCCAGAGGGCTGACATCTCAACTGGATTTCGTGACATGATCTTATCTCATCTACCCATGGGAGACTCACGAACACAACGGAACACAACTCGGCTACCAAAAGGGTGGCATGCATATTTAAAAGACCGAGAAACATGAAGATGTGAATTTGAAACTTCAATTTCTAACCGATCAGGGTCCCACATCTAAACAGTTAGGTGTTAAAAACCCCATAAAAGTCTACATGTAGGCCTCTGTGACATGCACATTACTACTGGCTTGAGATAATGATTTTAAACCCAGTAATACACGCACCTGACAATGAACAAAAAAAAAAAAAGGATGTTCGCCAGGGTACACTGTATAAAGGTTGTGTGTCTACGAAACCAAAAGTCTTTCCCGAAAAGTTGCTTGACATCTTGCATTGGTACTTGCTAAACCAACAAGGCTAAAGCACGAAACCAAAACTACTGGTATGCTTGACAAGATTTTCAGTTTGGAATTAAAATTAACATCACCCGACTGTGACCACTAACAAAACTTGCTGAAGGAGGTTACAATTTTATCAGTTATCACCCGAGCGCGAGTGGAACATGGAAGAATGTAGTGTGTCTGCCAGAAAAAAAGGTGAACACCGATGCACCTGTACCACAATTCTGCCATTTTATCGAGGGATAATAACAACGGGGCTTACACTAAGAAAGGAAATTGTTAGAATTATACATCTGACAATCAGCACGAGGCAAATACGCCACTTTTGAATTTACAGTCATGCAGAGGTACATTTGCTTTTCCACAATGCGTTGAGTTAGAACAGTGCATTATGCAGGGCTTGATATGAATCCTGCAATACAGTTAGGTATTACACTCCTTGAAATGCATAGACCAATCAGAACTGGGAATTCAAGTGTAACGTACATGTACATAGGGAACCAAGGGATACGTGAAATATTTACCACTACGTGACAGTGAATTTAAGTACAGGATAGGAAAAATGTCAACATGGGAGGAACCACTGGTATTCCCGAGGGGATAAACAAGGGTATTTTGGGGGAAGGGGGCCCTAAATCACAGTGGAAAGGGCAGGAGAGGAGGGGTTCAGCTATAAAATAGGTGGAGCTGCTATTTGCTAAGGGAGGTGCGAGATTTCTAGTTCTGAAGGGAGCACAATCCAGTGGGGAAGGGGACCAATTCTTAACTTGTGCAGCTTTTCAAAAATGGGACAGAAATAATGTCGATGAAAGGCCAATAAAGATTTTCCCTGATGAGAGAGTTGCGAAGCTAATCTGTCTTGGGGAGAAGCCTGTTTCTTTCAAAGTAAGGTTGGCTTACGCACTCTTGTGAACAAGCAAATCAAGAGATGTTACTCACGTCAATTTCAAAAATCTCTTCTGTGTCGTCAAGGAAACCAACCAGACAACGCATCTTCCGTTCCTGCTTTTCCCGGGCAATCTCATTGGCTCGAACGTTGTAGGAGCCACTGGAGGCTCGAAGCCGCCGTGACATGGCTGCTTCCTTGGTAGCCGTCACGTCAGTGTACGTTCTTCACACAGTCCTGGACATCATAGAGGAATGTGGTTCATCTACATGTACACCCAAAGTCGCTCTGTATGAGAAACAAATGGTGATTTTGGATTTGAGATCAGAGCTCGGTGCAGATATGTGGTGTTGATTTTGCAGGGAGTTTCCCTGGGATAACCAATGGGCATGCAACATTACAAATTGGATAAATGAGAGAGTCTAAGGAAAGTAAAAGTTCAATAATAACTATTGCCCTAAGGCTTGCATATGACACTTTTAGATATATACTTGTAGTTTCAAACTACATGTATATGTAGTTTTCATTGTTTAATAATTAATCTGGAGAAATCTTCAAGTCACAGAAGTATGTACTGAATACTTACCACACATGGAGATTTGGGGAGCTGATTTTTTTTTTTCAATCATATCTTTTGAAGTTCCCTTTGTGACGATTTCCTAAACATTTCTACATCTCAAAAACCCTTTACCAAAAAACTGAGCTCTCCCTTTTCTGAAAAGTTTGTTTTACAAGCATGCCTTTGCTGTTGATGTAAAGGAATAGTCTTAAGTCTAGGAAACACCACGCAGTGGATGAAATGCACTGCCAGTCCTGCATTCTGAATGTCAGGTGCTATCGATCCCAGATGCCGGCTGGGACTGGGACAGCAATAATGGTGACCACACTGTGGGGCCAAGCCCCCTTATACACACCAAGAAGTGCTGTTGATGGAGAGGTTTGAGAGCAAGCAAGTAGACCGAGTTGTGTTCAGCTGGGGGAGGGGGAAAGGAGATCTGGGATAGCAATCGTAGGAGGGTGAGGGATGAGGTGGAGGGGCAGGGAGTGGCAGAGGGCAGCTGATAGAGGGGGACGGGAGCTCTGAATGCCTGGGGTTGCTAGTCCAACCATGGTTCCTAGGAGGACATTGTACTCATATATGTAACTGTGTGCAAATGGCTATGTACATGTACATAAACTACGCACGCCGTAACTGCGCTATATGTACATGTACACGTGTTGGTATACAGTAAGATGCCGACTTACAAATCCCTCCTCCCCCGACATTTTCCAGGCAGCATTTAACAGCATGTAATAATTGTGCGTCAACGATCATTTTATCACATGACATTTATATGGATGCCGCTTAAGAATTCCCTCGCCTGTGAAAGACATTAGTCATAACTGGACAAATGCATCGTACATCTGGTGCACAAGATTAACATCTGCATGTAGGAATGAAATTCAGACACTGACGTACAGTGTGGATAAATTAAAAAAAACATACACAGTCCTATGGGGACAATGTACATGGCATGAAGGTATACAGCAGAATGCTTCGTGTTTACATGTACACTGGATAATGGACGCTACATATGTACAGTCTATGTAATTCAATCCAGTTCACGGTAAAATCAGGTTATGAGCACAAAATGAATGCCACATGTGCCAGTAACATACCGGTATCCTACTCCTGTACAAACAGAGAAAATGTAAGGACGCATACATGTATGTACGTATTAGTACATGTACATGTCTACATGTACCGGTACATGTACGTGTATCTGGCAAAAACTTTAAATCTCAGGGAGAAAGGAACAAATTATGTACTGAGGTAAGACAGGTGCATGTATGTATGGACAGGTGTACAGTACACATAAACACTGACATGATATATCCATGGCAAGTAATAAAAAGTCTAAATGACAAGGCTGAAACAATTGACAGATCGGAACTCAGTCAGATCTCAAGACAAGGCCATCTGTCCTGGGTTGTCTGTGGAAATACTGCAGATAGGAACTACACTACGGTCACTAACAAGGGCAAATGAAGAACAAACATGTACAGTGCATGATACGTTCCCTGCATGTACCTGTACCTGTCTACTGTCCATATTAAGCAGCCTGAAAAACTGTACCTACAGTGTACATAAACTTAAGCTTATGAATACAGTGAAGACGTAGTTGGGGAGATTCCGTCCTACATATTAGCATTCAATATTTGGTCACAAAATGTTGACTTGGTTGAGGCAACATTGTAGGAAGTGGTCTTCATGAATTTATGGGGTATGACTGATTAACCAGTAAGGCAGCAAGTACCTTTCTCAAGCTGAATTTTCCTATTCACATAATTCATAAGAACATCTACCTGTGTGCCAATGTGTAGGTGTATGATGGTCAAATAGGGGCCCTAATATGACAGGTTTGGATTTCACCAATATCGATGTGATCGTCAGACCATGTCAAGCTTGGAACCAGACACAGATATAACTGTACAGAAAAAAAAAGGAGAAAGAGAGAGGAGACGGAAGAACCGCTAAACCGCAGCCACTCAATTGGAGCGCATTATTACGCTAGACTGGCCTGATGTCGGACAGGCCTAATGGTCGGAAGATGAGGCCTACAGGCTGCAAAGCACTGTCCCATCTCCAATCAATTTATCAATAATCAGATTGAGCAGATTTATGTATATGCATGGAGTGAGTTACCTGCATGCTGAGGGTCATGTCAGAATGTGTGGGGGGTTGGTGTGATGTGCGTAGGTACATGGACATGGACGTGTAGCAGACATGACTTTATTGGAACTGAGAGTTTAATAATGAACGTCAGGGTACATGTAGATATAAGGCTGGTTTAAACTGGCACGAACAGAGCAGTTATTTTGTTGCATTTTTGAATGTCGTCTCATATTTACAATAATTGTTCAGTGTTTTGTGACAACTCAAACACAAAATTTGGGTTTCTTTGAAAAACAACAAAAACCACAAGGACAGGAGGCAAAATCTATTTTAAAAAAAAATTCTGAATAATCTAGACCATAGAAATCTGTCAAAAGAGAGGAAAAATCTCTAGTGCAAGGTCTGCAATTCTCACCTCAATGTAAATCAAAAAGATAAACAACAAACAAATCAAAGGCCGTTTTGTTTTTCGTCTGAATTGGAGGGTAAGGAGAATGGAAGAGGGTTACGGAGAAGCAGACAGAAGTAATCACTAGGGTTTTCATGCTAAACCATCGCTCAGTTTACATGTCAGTAGCCTCTAATAAAACAAAACAACTGCTGTAATTCTGTGGCCACGTAACATTATTTACGGCCACTGTATGGCTTGTATACTTCACAGAACCACTGTCCCCCCCTAGTAAAAGCTTGTCTATTTTTTTGGTGAATGTCACGCCACAAAACAATGTTTCGAGGAAACATAGGGCATGGCCACAAACATGTGGGTGGGAAAACAAATACCAGTGGCTTCCAAACCCTGCAATTTCTTGACTGGATTTTGGAACAGAAAGCCACAAACTCGTGACTTGGGCCCTGCCTCTGGCTGGTCTCAATTGAATTAAGCTTAAGGGTAACGCTACCTGTTTTTACAAGCTGATGTAATGGTTGAAAACTAACCCAGAAAAACTGCTTTTATTTGGAAATCAGTATTCTTGAAACAGAAGATCACCAGCTTTTATGATGTGCTGTCTACAAAAACTTCGACACATTCGAGTGGTGTTTTAACAGGAAAAGAAATGGAATTTGTGGTCAAGTATAGTTTACTAATTAGCAGAAGATTTCATTCACGTACACGTACATAGAGGTACATGATGTTTTATCATGGTTTTATGAACTGTACATTACTGGTAGACTATCAAACTATTTTATTTGAATAAATCTAGAGGATATCAATGGTTTATTGACATGTTGTAAAGACTGAAAGAATATTCAAACTGGTCAAGTAATCTGAAAATACATACCTGCAGCATTCACAGAAACCAGTAAATATGCAGACCTACAGTGGACATGTACATGTAACTGTCCCTAACATTAACAAGTAAAGGTAATAGTGCATGTACTTACATGTACATGTTTAGGTACACGTGTGCTCAACTGACACAGAGCCATGAAATAAATATGGGAAACAGGAAGTAAGGTTGGTGTCCCAACCACAAAATGGGTCAGCTGGGGTCAGGGGAGAGAAATGGCTGTGGCAGGAAATTACAGCTTTGTTGGGTTGTAGCTCTATGGTGTGGAGTACACCAGAAGGGCCTACATACATGTACAGTGTACATGTACATGTATACTGTACATGTACATACATGTACAGTGTACATGTACATGTATACTGTACATGTACATACATACAGTAAGAAGGCCACCCTACAGTGTAAACAAGGGACCTCTACAGACTCTAGCAGGTGTTGGATCATTCCCCAGTGGGGGGTGGGAGGGGGGAGCTACTGTGCCTATGCTGGGATGACCGGGAGGGATGGGTGGTTGGGACATGTCATGACTGATGGCATCAGGTTAGACTAGCTGGGACAAGTTCAGGACAAGTGTGTGTAAACAAATGACAAGCGGGTCATTCTATAAATTCAGGGTTCAAAAATGTGACAATTTTGTGTCCTTGTTACATCTGACCTGTGTCATTTGGCAGGATATATCACTGGAAATTGATTTCAAACTATTTCTATTTGTTTGCCAGGTATTAATTTGCATAAATTCATCACTCTTGAAATTGGAAAATCCGTTCTGATTTTACAAAATCATATGTCAGGTGTGACTGAGACGCCAAACAAAGTCGACCCCTAATTTACAGAATGACCCGAATGGATAAGTCTTTTCCTGCTCACCTCCAGAACACAACTAAACAAGATATTAGATAATACACGTACCAGTACATGTATGTGATCAGGTGAGACTAGTACGGAGGTACACATCTAACTCGACCAAGTTTTGAAGTTATGATTTTCTGTGGGTGAACTGAACTCAAACTGTGCGGACAGCAGGTTGGGGGTTTCATAAACTTGTCTGATTGTGTTAAGGTGCAGAATATTTTCAGAGCGTTTCAATGAATAATGGATAAGTTCACTTTTTAGAGTGGACTTGTAATTGCTCATTCAGAGGAATGATGCAACACTGTCACAACTTGTGTGGAGCACGTTAGTAAACGATTACAGTACATGAACAATGTACGTACATTTCACTGTTCCTAGGTCCTGCGACTCTCATGCAAGTATCTTTCACGCACCTGGACTGGGGTTAACACTGCGAAATTTTCCGAACTGGACAAAAATTTAAAAAGCAAAGCTAACTGATAATAAAGTACATTTCTAGTCAGTTTGTGGTGTGCACACTGTATTTGCCAAAACGAAGGCACATGAACATGTATATATCAGGATGGTATTCCACAATCCCCTTGGCCCCTTCGTTCTGGGTGAGGGTGAAGACAAGTGTGTCTTGGAGCTGTGCAGTGACACTTGACAACAATCCAAACACCCCCTCAATCAAGCAACAGCTGTCTCTCCTCCTGACGACTCTCTTCAAGGACTTCAATTTCACTCTTGCCATGGCAAGAGAGTCTCTCACTAGTGGAGAATAGAATTCAATTTGACTGAAAAATGCTCTTGTGTTTTTTTGAGGAATCTGATAATTTGTGGCGTACGACCTCATAGAAGTTTGAAAAACTCCCCAGTCACACACATGATGTACCATGGCTGTAACTTTTCAATCTTTAAGCAAAGGCATCAAACAAAATTCTGTACACATAAAGCATAAGATTATTTTAAATTTACCAAAAAAAAAAAGGTGCTGACAACTGACCCCAAACAACAGTTAACCTCTTGCTTATTGGACAAGTTTGTTGGTTGGTTGCCTCATTGTGCCCCGCTATTTGTTTGTGTGTTTGATCGCACTTGGGTTGCGGGGACAACTTTCTGGAGTTGCCAAAAACCTTGCCAGAATATAATTTGTTTGGGTGAGGCATTAGGATAACCTAGCCCAAATCTCAAAATAATAATCTTCAGACATACAATAATCTATTCAGTCTTTCCAATTCCCCCGGCGCATTACACCTGTACTAACCTGAAACGACCGACAGGAAAAACAAATTTCACTGCAAACCTCCCACCCTCTATTTAATAATACTCAATCCCCGCCCAGGGCTAGGATTGGAATAAGAAGGAAGGCTGTTGAATAGTTTAACAACGTGTTGTTGGGGGGGATAGCTGAAATGGCTGAACAAATGAATGGATTGGCATTTGATCGGGTACAAAATGAAATTCTCATTTCCGCTGGTTAAACAAAAAAATTCATGTACATGTAAAGTACCCTTACAACATGTACATGTACATATGTACGTACATGTATGGGGCCTTATGTACAGGTAAATGGATGTGTGCAAAGTACATACACCTGTTAATTGAAATGATTAATTTTGTCTATTGAATTGATTGAGTAAGATTTCAGTGTTGCTGCGAGAACTGACGATGCAATTTCTTTTCCATATATACATTTATTTATAATACATGTACATGCACGTGTGTGCTGACAAAAAGGCCTGTTTGACAATTTATTTTGCGTGTACATCATTGAAGCATATCAGTATGCCATAACAGGAAATATTCATAAATCACGACTATCTAAATTGACATAAATTTACAAAATAGACTCGGTATCACGGTGTTTCAAAAAAGGGTTTGACCTCCTCTCACCATTTTGGAGACGGACTTTGTCCATCACCTGCATTAGCTATCTTCTTGGAAAAGATCCAAGGAGTGTTGTTATATGCATTTGTGTCAACACACTGTGAAGTGAACAGACACTAAAGAGGACTTTCCTGTGCTACACAAACTCAGGACAGGAAATGTATGAATACAATGTATGGATACAATGCCAGAAAAGCTATTGTTGCATACAATTTGTCCAAATGAGATTGAAAGCAAGTGACTGAAGCCTGGCATTTCTATGTGCCTGTGTGATTGGACTAGTCCCCAACAACAGCACCGATACAACAGAATGCTGCGTTCATGTACACGCACATGTACACCTCTGTGTACACAGGCATCTGTGATATGCACGCATTGTATACTGTACACCGCCATGTTCCATGGAGACTATATGGCATTGAAAAGCATTCCTTGGTGGTGAGATCACAGACTCGGGGTGAAATCGACCATGCAACAAGGACAATGGCAAACGAAGGGTACAGGCGGAATTACAACTGGCTGTGACACACTACACTTGAACCCAGTGATCCTGTGTAGGGATGATAAATGAAGACATCAAGGAAATAATTACACTTGTTCCCAGGGTGACCTAGGATAATATAGGGGGAAATGGGAAGAGTGGAAATTTATGAGACTTAAGAGGAAAGAGTTGTCCATTCTGATTCATGACAGCTGCGGGTAATGTTAATTGTTACTTCCACAGAAACAGGTTCCAGTCCCTCTCCCCCAAGAAATAATGATTTGGCTTGGGACTCTTAATCAGGGACTTTCTGCCGACAATATACTCAGGTTCTGTTTTCTCATGACAGAATTACGAACATGTTTCGAGGATGTCTGTGTACTTTTTCTTTGACACAATGAAAATACAGACGTTGCTAAGAATAACAGCAGAAGTCCACTGGAGAAACACTGTCACAAAGTGTAACAGGTGCCTTTCGGTAATTGATACATTGTAATACACCCCATGTGCACAGGAGCCAGAGTGTTACAGAAAAAAAATCTAATCTGTTCATGTTTGGCCCAAATTTATTCCATCACAGCTTACATTTGAAGTGCAAAATTGACTGAAAATCTTGTGCTTGAAATGAGTGCGTGGTAGAAGAGGCACATTTACTCACACAACACAGTATCACAGAAAACGACTAAACACAACAGTCTTCTGTGATTCTTCATGTAGCTAAAAATAACTGAAGCTCTCAAAATTGGAGTGAAGCGCTCTGTACAACATGTACGTAGTAAGATTACATGTACATGTACATACAGTAGTCAGACATGTACATGCAGCCCAGCGGCACCGTGCATGTGGGTTCTTAATGATATGAGTGGTACTGGTCAAAACAATTAAATTTATGGCAAGATGTCTGAAATTTATGAGTATATTTCTATGCTGGACAAATCCAAAATGAAGGAGGACCTATGAATGATCAAACTTTGCTTAAGAAAACATCCATGACAGAGATTAAATCAGCCTGTCGGTCCATAATAATGCAGCAATTTCATGGCCCAAGGGAGAAATAAGGAAGAGTGAGGGGTTGGCAGAAAATAGCAAATGGTGAACACCGTGAGGACAAATGAGCGGTGATAATCACCAGCGGAGGGGAGGGGGGAAATGAGGAAAGCTGGAGCACAACACTGGCTAGCACTGGCAGTTAGCTCGCTGATTAGACCTCTGGTCAGACTGGGGGTTTTTATGAGGTGGGACGATACGGCAAGATGACAGAACGAAGAAGGAAAAAAATCAAGGTAGAAATGAAAGGTGATGCGGAGCAGTGGACATGAGCATCTTGCTGCCTGAAAGAGACAATGCAGCAGGTGTATCATGTTGGTTTTTTTCCTTCAGAACTTGGTAAACATACACATACAGTGTATAGTACTGATAAATAAAGATAACATTGGCTTTGACACCAAATTAATTACCAAGAATTCTACATTTAATGAACTTAGCAGCACATCTTGCCTGCAGGTTGAAAATACTGCACACCAAACTACATGTATTAATTTCTAACATTTTGTATGGTAACACTCTGCTGATAATGACTCACACAATTACATAGGCATATCACATTACATTCCAGCTAGTTCAGTTCTTCATTTAGGTTAGCAGAACATCTGTTGCTCAGGGGAGAAAAAGCAACATTCGTGCTAACTACGGTTATTAAAATGAAATACGTAGGCTTGCTTGGGACAACTGCTTGAATTTAAGCAAAAATGTTCACTTTGAAATTGTGTTTAAATGAACACAGTTCAGCTTCCTTGCATGTTTAAATAAGGGCAATTAGCGGCTCTTTAGAGTTGACCTCCACAAACAATGGCCAACGATTTGAGCACATTAGGGTAACAATCCAGTTTATTCCCGGCAATGATTCAATTTACCTGATGTACAACGTGCAATACGGCCCAAGCCCTTACCTTCCTACAGGTACAAACTGCAGACTAAATGGGACGCTTGTTGGTAATGACTTGCATGTGTCTTGGAAGGAACCGTGAGTCACAAGTCGGATGCTGTGGTATGGGAAACCATTTAAAAATGAGAGTTCTATTTCTGAACCGAGATGAAGCGACTCAACTGTGCAGATCTGTGCGACACGTGTGCCAAACCAATGTGTTGGATTCCCCTGGCTGAGCCATGATAACGGTGTCAGAACTCCCCAATATGTGGTCAAGGAATATTCAGGTGCGGTTCTTGCTTCAGAATTCAGCGGTTGGGATGGAAGGGATAAGGGTAAAGGAGACAGGGGAAGAAAAAATGAGAGGGGGAGGGGACTTTATCAATTAGGGATAGGTCATCAATCATTTCTTAGGACTTGATGCCACAAATTTCTTTGGGAAATTGGAATCTAGTAAAAATGTCTCACAGAACTGTATCCAATTGTTATTATCTGGGAAATGTCATTCAGTGTATAAAGCGAGTCTCTGAGAATGGTTCAACTTTTTTGTGTGTCATTAACACAAAGTTGGGGTTAAAGGCCAGGTGAAGCAAGGATGTCCTTAAAACTTGTTTCATTATTAAAATGTTGTGTTGGCACAGGCTTTACAAATGACAAACATTACCATGACTTGCCAAACAAGGGTTTAACTCAGCTACATGTACGTTTGCTTACTGGTGTTTACATATGAATTTAAAATGTCAATCAAAGTATTCCGGTAATTTTATACACACTATAACAGTCAATAAAGCTCTATACAGCACATAGTACATGTGTGTGTACATGAAAGCTATCACAAAAACTGGCTGATTACGCTATACCCGTACCCTTATTGAAAGCTAAAAACTGGCCGTCAAATGAAGAAAACTGAATGAAGTTTTAACGATGGTAATCAACATTGCCTTGTGCATAGTGAGTGGTGTACATTGTCCGCAATTCTTAAGAATCCTCAACTTTAGAAATTTTAACATAGATTAAGGCAAGTTAAGTTATCTCTTTTGAGGCAAGTTTTGGTAGCTGTTGTCCCCATTTATGCCATTCAATCAGCACAAAAAAACTGTCCCCCCCAAAAAAAAAAATTTCCGACCTACTGACCCAATTTCTGAGAGCCAGTAATTGGAAGAACTGTTTTTTGGGGGGCCTGATAGGACACGGTTTCTTTTTTTTAAACTTTATGCAGAAAAAAATTTTTAAAAAATGCAACTATTTCACAATATGCCTGTATACATATATATCACAGATATTACAAACTCTTTCAGTACAAAGTGAAATGTACATAACTACATTTTGAGCGACGTTTCAACTGAATCAGCAAATGACCAGTGGGTAAACTTATGGGTTTAGTTCAGCAGCTGGAAATGTCTAAGGACCGCGCTTCCTGTTGTTGGATCAGGCGCTTGATAAGCATACCCTGTGATTCATTTCCCTGTGTACCCATCGTTTTCCCCAATCCCCCCCCCCTTCCCTATTCCCCCTTCCCCATACGTTGAATATCAGACATGACTCATGGTCCAGGATTAGGTGACTGAACCGAACGTGAAACCCATTAGAATCAGTATGAAAACGCTTGTAAAAGTTGATGAACATCATCACTGAAGATGAAACACCGACTAAAACACAGGAAGAGTCTGGAAAAAGACAAGACTCACTGAAGTAGCACGTCAACAAAAAGTTCCTGATTTTACAGCAACATTTAAATATTCCTTTGTTTTCTTTTACCTGCATTTGTGCACTTCTATGTCCTAAATAGTTGAGGCACTATAAAAAGGAAATATAAAATAATACGACACGAAAATTTTGCAGACAAATGGCTGTACCTGGGTACTTTATCTTTTGAGTTGGATGTTGGGTCACGCTTCAAACATTCACTGAGTTAATGTTGGAGCCTGGGGCACAAGCAGTGACCTTGACACTCTGAGGTCATATCCTCCATGTGTGGTCTAAGTGCAGAAGTGGTGTGAACAGCATACAACAAGAGACCTCTCTCTCCTGGACTGTTGTGATTGTGAAATGGAAGTGCCTTGCCTTGGGGGAGAAGGGGAGGCTACAGTCTGAATACCATGCTCAGGAAAATCACTGGTCCCAGAGACTATGGGAAATATGAAGCCTCTGTTGGAACATGCTTGGAATAATGGCATATTGTCCAGCATGTTTTAAAGGTTCCTAATTTCATTTGTAGAAAAATTACAATGAGAATTTGACTGTGTATTACATCAAATTGTGGGAGATTTCAATACAAATATATGAAGTATAATGTTTCAGTTATGAAGGCGAAAAAATGTTGGAAAGACAAAAGAGCTCTGTATTACAAGGAAAACACTAAGATGCCCCCATGCACAAACTTATGAGACTTGTATGAAAAAAAACTGACAATACCCGAGTGTTTTCTAAGTAAATGCTTCGGACATTTCTTAACTGTTTCACTTCCGGAGGGCTGTTATAACTTTTTAAGGGAAAATTAGTGTTGTCAGTACATGTACATGGGACTCTTTCCAAAATATTTTTAAGTGATGATAAAATTCCAAGGATCCTTCTGTTATCAAGAAATTTGATTTCAAAATACCCATTTAGGGCCTTTCCTAATGAATTTCAGTTAATTTTGTCAAAACATTCCCATTACTGACAGAAAGCATTTCACAACTTCCACTGTAATCTAGGCCTAAACAAACTAGGCTAGACACTTCCAAGAACTTAAGCAGGCGATTTGACGTTCTTGCATGCCATCCAAGACTAACCCTATAAATTATAGTATAAAAATTTTTTTTTAAACAGCATTAAAAACAAGAAACAAATGACTAAAAAACAGGCTAAAGAAAGGAATGTACTGTCGTCATGGTAGTGCAGACATCATTACTGTTGAGCTAAACATTCTGATTGCTAAATTGTATTAAAAATAGAAAATTTTTTACATTTTTCTTCAGGTTTTCTTATCAACATACTTTGCTCACATGCCTTAACCCTAACCCCCTAGGGACCATTGAAATCCAGCATTAACCATAACCTTGCTGGGTTCAGCATGGTTAAGGTTAATGTAAAAAGAAGTGGTATGCAAGTATTTCAAACAGAGCGATTCCACGTATGCCCTGATCCCTGTCAAGAAATGCAACAAGTTGAGAATGGTTGCTCGTCTTGAGTTTACTCCGTACACTGCACGCGTAGGCCTATTTACATATTACTGACAAGGCCTACCCATCGAACAGCCATACATGATAGTGATACAGTACACGTTCCTTGCTTTGGGTTGCACGTCCACACAAATTTCCCACAAAACACACGCTGCTAAACAGACAAGCCAAGAACTTACGTACGTGTCTTTGTGCTGTGACTGACCTCCCTATATATCCAATTTTGGAGCGAATGACTTCAACAGAATGCGAGAAAATCGGTTTCGTCCTAAAAAGTTCCGCTCGCATTTAGCTGTGAAAATGTTAATGTTTAACATGACAAGCACTGGTTTCCAAATTCATCACACATGCACTGTACATGTACTTTACCATACTGCTAATAAAAATGCCACAGGAAGCTAGCAGAGCACCAGCGAAAATGAAGCTTATGGGGCACTATATAGGACACTGCGCACGTACGCGAGACGTATGCATGCACCTGTCCTCAACTGAAATTTGCTTTTTAACGAAGTATTAAAAAAAAGGGGAAAGGAAAAAAAGAACAATTGCCCGGTAACTTAACCAACAAACATTAAGAGAAAAGGTCTTGCTTGTGAGTTGAGGATGGAGACAGAAGCTCCTTAAAATAATTAGGCAAATTAGACCGAGTTGCAGCAAGGTTGATAGAGGGCGCCCTAAATTATTTGCGGCTCTGTTTGCGCAGGTTAACGATTAGCGCCACAGATTCGCGCGGTTAGTAAACTTGATTGAGGGCGGCATAATAAGCCAACAGAGCTCAGCGCGCGACATGTAGCTCTCGTCCGCAGAGAGCAATAAAAGCAGTCGCTCGTTACGTCATAAAGTTGCTAAAATATCCGTTATTAAATGCTTACAATATCAGATAATCATTTTGTCTTTACCAGTCTCTTTTCTAAAGAAACAATAAAATGATAATTCAAAATTCAACCTCAAGTTAGAAGATTGATGAGGTCGGCCTGTTATTTCCATCCTAGTAGCAGTGACAGCCGATGATTTTGTCTGGAGTGTAAAATGAAAATGCCGAACTGTAACATTGTCATGTTGGTTTGCATTTTTCATCTCTAAATTTTGTTTCTTCCATTAATAAGATGTGCAACAAAACAAAGGATCGCAATACATCCGAATGTCGATGGATAAGTTTGTTTTTCAAGATAATGGTTCCGATCAAGCCTCAGTGCAATGCGTCTCCGGCATGTGACATAAACATAAATAAGTAGGTCACCTGATACATTGCGATGGATATCGTACACGATCATGTGATGGTGCTTTGCTTTTGTTGATTGGCTGAAAGTCATGGCCCCATAATATACGCAGGCGCAGTTCAATCGTGACCTCGAAGCTGTGACCTTTCATACGTGTGATGTGTTCAGAAACGGCCGATTGAGCATTTTGTGCCGTTGTTATCAGTAGAATTGCTGTGTGGTTCACGTAGATTACAGCGCGCAAAGTCCCGATCTGGAGAGTGATGTATACGGTAGGTGAGGTGAAACAGGTTGTAAAATTTCGAGTTAGAGAAGAGGACGTGCAGAGGGAATTTTCCTTACGTGTTTGTATACCGTACGGCGTTTAGTAATTACGGCCTACGGTAGAACCAGTAATGGAGAAAGGATTTAGCACGCCCGGCCTATTCGGCCCAGCAGTAGTAAGACTGCGTAGGCCTACTACCAGTACTAGTAGGCCTAGTAGTATTTCACTAAGTAGGCATACGTTAGGCGTCGTCCAAAATTTAATCATTTTCCTAGTAGTACTTTGAGTACTATTTTGACATGTTTGAAGGCCCCCTCCCTCCCCCAAATTTAATTAGTACTTATCGACATTTTTCTGTCAGTATCCTGAAATATTGACAAATCATGTTTTACGTATCATCATGATCATGTGCCCCAGGCTCTACTACATTTGACCAGTGTTGACAGGACCCCAAAAGTCATACGCGGCCCATGACCCCCTGCCCTCTTCTGATCTTACGCTTTGTACAACTGTGAAAATGTTGAAAATTTTAGACGGCTCCTTATGGCTAAGTAGTTGACTTCTTCATTCCTCCATGACTTGTACCGCGCCTCGTGTTACTGTCAGCCTGGTGGTAATATATCACTTGAAGTTGGCATGTATGGAAAACTAACAGTGGTAAGTGGTGTCAGTCATTGTCCAGGTTAACGACAACATCAACTTAAGATCTGATTTTTTTGGGTCATTCCGTGGCACTGACAATGCTGTTCCACTGCACTGAGAAAAAAAATTAACCTTAATGACGTTGATGATGCATTACGGGTTTGGATGACAAAAAGCAATCCATTTTATACACAATCCAATGGGAGAAGCGTACCTGCAAACGTTCTTCTGCTCTCAGTTTATTACATATTCCAATTCAAGCCATCCTCTTCTCACAGAGTGTTGTATTATAGATTTGGGATGAAGATATTCACAACCTTCGAAGTTTAAAGTATGGCAGAGAAGAAAAATTGGGGGAATCCTTCCAACAATGCAAGTTTTTGTCATGGACCGTGCTTTGACTAAGATCGTGAATATTATTAATGCCCCAGTAGGCCTATTGGCCAATCAAAATCACAATTTATAACTCATTCATCCTGCATTGACCAATCATGTTATTTTCAGCCAAGAATTACTAAAAAAGACAATTAAGGATGATTTTTGTTCTTTCAAAAATCACGCCTCTGCTGTCTACACCACCAACAGCTGGTTTCTGGCCATTTTTATGTACAATAAGCACAGCTCTGGTGTTGATTACCAACTAAAATGTTAATGTACTTTCGTTACATGCATGCATGTGGATCTCATCACAGTGTGTGGGGCCGGGGACGTGTTGCTCCGAATCGACATGACTGGTGGAAATTCCGCTTCCTCCGTTCTTACATTTTATAATTATTCTTTATTACAAGTCTTTACTCATTAAACTGTATTTCACTTTCATAAACAAACTTTTTAAAAATCAAATGCATGTAACAAAACAATACTATGTGCCTTTAAACAAAAAGTTATGCGTACTTGTACACATGTACGCTTTACCTGCTGTCGATTGGTTATACGTATGTTGAGCGGGACTGCGGTTTTGCGGATAATACGAGCTAATTTTCTCCCAAGTCCCTAGACCCTCATATTAACGAGAGTCGACTGTATCTCTTATGAGTTTGTGTGGTTCTGAAAGGAACCGGGAGTATACTCAACGTTTCAGACTGCGTGCTCAGTCCGTCGTCAGGCTTAATGTTATCATTGAATTCTGTGTAAAATCTTCAATCTTAAATACCATTTTGAAACAACCATCCATAACCACAAATTTGAATGACAAGGCAATTGGCTGATTCCAGAACTGTTGGCAAGTCACGAAATTAAGAATAATAAGATCGTGCAGAAATCCAGTGATTACGCAGATCGACAGTTAGCTCTCAACAGTTACACGTTTGTTAGGGTTTATTGAGCTATATTTGCAATCACACGTATGAAGCCAAACCACGGTTCACAACCATGCACAATGCATGACATCTAGATGCTCAACCAACCATAAAAACTTCATGTGTGAAATTAGACTCCAGTAACATTCGGGCTTTATTTTCCTTAAAAAAAAAAATCTCCCTCCCCACAATTCCGACCCGTGATTCAAACCCACACCCATGCATCACAAACCATTATGCCATAACCGCTTGACTACCGCAAATCACACAAATTGATGGTGTTTTTACTGTTGATATATCGATAAACGGCTGCAATGCGAGTCTAATACACATTGGGCATGTGCAATACAAACACAACCATCGTGGTTTGGCTTCATACGTGTGGTTGCATATATATCTCGGTTTATTTGAGCGTCGATGTGTAACCTTTTAGGACAGTGTGCTGTCATTTCTATTGCTACGTCAAACACTAGGAAGAATGCCGGTCAACTCGTACATCATTTACATGTATGTGAGTCAATTGGTACCTCGGCCAACTGGTTTGCTGAATTGTACTTCAGGCTAATGTTATTGAGATGCTGTAATAACTCGCTATTTGCACGCTGCTCAGGAAGTTTGTGGACCTGACAAGGATTTGACAATCATCAAATTATTTTTTGTTTCTTCTTTGTTTTTTATTTTTCTGAGATCCCTTTGTTAGAGACTGGTCTGGTTCCAGTGCTGGAGATTGGTGCAATAGAAGTAGGCAGCAACCAGTCTAAAGTGCATACAGTAGCACACATTGAGGCCAAAGGTGTTTTTTTTTTTTACTTTGTCAAACATTTACGTCAAAATTTACAAAATGACTTTGAGTATGTTCTTGCCCCTTGGATCATGTCTTTGTCTTCATTTTGATTGATAATTTTTTTGGAGAGGACTTTGTTGTGGTTCTTATGTCAAGTTCAAAATGTGGCTCCTGATTACCTCCTCTGAATTCGTGAACTTTTGATGGTTATTGTATGGGAACTTAGTCCCAATATTAAGAGACATGAAATCAGGTTGAGATAAGAACAAAGCTTGTCATCCTGCACATATTTTTCAAGTGTTTTCTTCTGGTTTGATATGTGATGGCAGTTTGATTGGAGAAAGATACATCCACGTTGGCCTTTGTCCTACTGAACTTCTCAACCTTTGCTCCACCATTTCGTACCATCTTTCAGCACACAGATAGTGTACCAGTAAATATTGGCAAATCTGTTGTATTCTCTGTGATCCAACCAGCAATTGTGAAATCACAAGTCATTGTCACATGATGCTGGCTTCCAGTAGGCAAGGTAAACATATCTATGACAATTATGACTGGAATATCCTAGCATTTGTTCATGTTCTCAAAAACATGCTTTCTTTTGTTTAGACAAGTTTATCATCAAGGAATTCAGCTCCAAATCAGTGTAGTTCAAAGAAAGCTACTTCCTGTTTTATTTGCATTGAGCGGATTTACGTGTAGAAGGTTGGCGGTTCACTGGTGAAGCAACTGTCCCACAGAACAGACGGTTTGGGGTTCAACTCTGTCCCACATAATCCCTTGAAACCTTTCCCATCAGGTTTTCAGGGAGACATAGGAACTCGACTTGAGGTTGCTTTTGGTGTGTGCGGGCAAAATAGTGTTTTCTTTTGAGAGGTCTTCTGTTGTTTCTTAAGTAGTTGTACAAGTTGTTTTGTTGAAATGTAATGGACAATATAAAAAGTGCTCAAGAGTGGGAAAGAGGTTGTCACCTTCTTCTCCACCATATTCTGTGTAGAGCTTTGGTAGGGTTCATTGTAGAAGTGCCCTCCTTAAAAAATCACCGTTGTATATTGCAGAGTGCAACCCTCTTTATTTACATCAGTGATAACACAAAGCGATAACAGCAACAATATTGACAACCTCCTCCGTGGACTTTATCCTCTGTTTGGTTGTGACAGTCAGCTTGGCATACTGACTTTTCAGTATCTCTGCAGATTTGTTAGAAGGTCATTATCCATGGTCAAAGAAATGTTGTAATGAAATTTTGAGAATGAATTAAGTACACTGGATGTAATTTGTTCTCATTTTTCATTTAAATGTAAAGCACAAGGGAAAATGAGCAATTGTATATGTAAAAATCTGTCTTGAGTAAGGTGCATGCAGGTTTAGTACAAACTCCTTGAGAGAGTATTCGGTTTTTCACTTTTCCAGACGTGTAGGTGAACGGTCTGGTACAATATCACTGCTTCTTGGCACAACTTGTATTCAGCCTGCTAAATTTATGCAAATTCTTTATATCAAGTGAAGATTGTACATGTAATTCTGGAGTTATGTAAGTACTATTTATCATTAATTGAAATCTTTCTTTTTTTTTATTGACTGCAGTGTTGACGGCATGGGATATGTTTGGCCAATTATGCATTGCTACAAAGGTCTGTATTCAGACAACTGGTACAGCATGACTACAGTGGAACATCATTGGGGACATACAGCACTGGCAACAGGTCTATGATCTGTCTCCTGGGAGCCATTGTGCAGACAAGCTGGACTCCAGAAACTCTGATTTAACCAATTTTCAAGTGACTGTTTAGTACAGTGGATCAACGTGAGTGGGCGTTATCCTCGATCAGAACTTTCAGCAAAGAAGTAATCTGTGGTCTGCCGAAATTTTAAAAGCACAGAGTCTTGCTAATCTGGATTTGTCAAGATTTGAAGCTGGGTGATCTTCATTGTACTCACTTTAAGTGCAGTTGTCATACACTTGACCGTTACAGTACTTAATCTTTTCAACTTTCCTTGGACGGAGAGCAGTTTTCCATTTGGACTTTACGGCCATGTATTCCAAGATGTCTCACCGAATCATCAGCACTGTTCGGCGGTCGGTGGTGCTGTATCTTACTGGTGTCTGCTTGGCGCTCATCCTGCATCTGCTACAGATCCAGCGCAATGTCACACTGTTCCCCGTCGAGGTGATTGGAAGTTTGATGAAGTCTGATTGGTGGGTGCCTCCGGTCTGTGGAGCTGCTGCAGGTGTGTGTTGCAATGAATGACCCCCCCCGTCCCAGTGACTGTACCCCCTCCTAGTATCCATTGTGTTTTTATGGTGAACCCTCCCAACATCTGCCAGTCAGCAGTAAGCAAATACATTCTTTGTACATGAATGAGATTAGGATGTGTCGTCTTATTTAAAACAAATATTGGCTGAGCTCTTCAGCCTGAAACCACCAACATCAATCAAAACCAGGTGTTGGAATGTGAAGGAATTTGATTGGTTAAGGTTATCCCTAACCCCAAACGTATATGTAAACTCATATTGAAATCGGAGGATTTTAGACTGTTAGGAATATACTTTATTTATTTCTGATGATCTGCAGCGGTTACCCGCCACTTGCAGGCATCCATGAGAAACGGATGGGCAAAGTTATGCTTTCTTATTGACCTGTTCATCCTTAAGCTTCAGAGTTCGTAAAAAAGTGAAAATTATGAACTAACTTTGGTTCTTTAACCCTAACAGCCCTGAATACGGCAAGGTACTACTTAGTAGTCAAATGTAATATACAGTGCTGTCGCTTGTAAGAGGACATGACCTTATTGTTCTCTGAAGCCATAAAGTACAATATATACCCAATGTACCATACAGTGCTCTGGCACTATGAATGCACGACTACAAGGCAAATTTCATGCACAACTGTTGGGGTTAAACACAAGCATACGAATGTGTCAATGTAGACAATATGCATATACCTGTGGTGTACATGTACTTCAGTTTCTGATGTTTGTGTCTTACAACTTATACTTGTACTCCTGTTTTTTTGTTTCAGTGGTGGTTGGTCTACTCTACCCATGTATCGACAAACGCCTCGGGAAGTTCCCCTGCTACAAAGTGGAATGGTCCAACGTGATGAGATGTCTAGCTGTCTTTGTTGGCATCAACCATGCCTCTGCTGTATCCTTTCTGCAATAAATGTAGGGCACCTGTATATCACATGGCATAGAAGGAGAGAAGAAATCGAACAAGAATTGTGTTATGGAGGGGAGGTGGAAATATAATCATGAAAAATCCCACTGAAGCATGCTGTCCAAGACAGCAGTTGTTTTGTTCTTGGAGTAGTTGGGACTGGGTACTTCATATTTCATTTTGTCTTTACATCATCAAAATTCGTGAATTCGCCCCTCATATTAGATTTGTTCTTGAGATGCAACTTGCTCCAGAGAGGCTGCATTGTATTCAGTTTTCCTTGACCCTGGCAATTTCATGCTGCAGAAAATTGATTTTGCCAACAACCTTCAATTTTCTCTGACGTTAGCGGCGATGTCCATTGGACTATGGTGGCTGTTTGACCGGTCACGGACCGGTTTTGGTCTGGCTCTCATTGTATCGTTCCTTGCCACAGTGGTCACCCAGCTGCTTGTCTACAAAGGCTTTTACAGGTAGAGATTGAAAACGATTCACATTCAAAAACCATAGCAAGCTATTCGTTGCATGCAGGGTTGTTGAGGGTGCTATATAGCCCTTGGAAATGTTATGAAACTCACATATGCTACTCATTAATATTGGATTTTACCGTTTCCCTAATGTTTGAAAATTGTTTAGAAATTGGTGGAGGTTTTTAATAATGGTTGACAGAAACAGAAATTTACATTATAGCACCATTGTAAAGGTTTAGCGTTTTGTGTGTTTTATGGGCAAAGATCATTGGATCAGATAAATAAGTCCTAAGTTTGCACGAGCACCTAAAAGACCCCAAACAGACCGGTTACCTTCATCTTGTATTTGTTTCCATACCTCTAGTTACACTGAACCTGATTTCTTGTATGTGCGTTCCTGGATACCGTGTGTATTTTTCTCTGGTGGGGTAACCATGGGAAACATCGGAAGACAACTTGCAATGGTGAGATCTTTCGGAATAATTTCCAAGCTTGTCTTCCCTGTTAGATTGGTTACGTAAATGTTAACTTTGAAAGCTTGGCTGAAATTTATTCACGAAGAGACGTTCTGTCTTGGACTGATGGAAATTGACTATGATGGCTCAGAATAAAATAATCTCGAGATGGAACCAGACACTGAATATTTTCAACAAAGTGGTCTCAAAACACTTGTCTTAAAATTGTCGCCAGTTTCCATTTCACAAATTGAAAGGCTTTTGCCAGGGTTTTAAGAGCCACATAAAAAATTTAGGAAACAATTTGCTTTTGTTTGAAGTCTTGGTAATGTGCTTTCTGTAGATTCTAACCCTTAATTCTTTCTCATCTTTGACAGTATGAAATGGAAAAGGAACATAGATCGTGAGTCATCTTGAGATGCAGTCATGTACAAAAAGAGATGACTTTCAAGGATCTTTCCTCTGCCACCGTCTTCAAGTTCTTCAAGCCACACGAGATAGCAACTCTACCAGTCTGGATGTTATTTTGCTTTTTTTTTTTTTTCCTTCTTTCAATTTTGCGATATTTTGGCATCCAGAGCCAAGATACTGGATCTGTTGTGACTGCAAGCACTGCCATAGCTTAGGAAAGAAAGCAGCATTGACAGCAGAAACAACCTGCCAAGAACAGTTGAAACGGAAGAATTCTTTAAGATGGCAGCAGCTGGCTTGTGTAGAACAGCCAGACACCTGTTTATAATAAACCGCCAGTTGCCATGCAACATGACTATATTCTGCCCTCATGTCACCGTGTTTTATTTTGCCTTATTTTCTTCAGCGTGTATTGGACTCGCCTGAGATGGCCTCCCAAAACGACCGGTATGTGACCCCTTTTGTGGCTTCCAATGAGGTTGAAATCTTTCAGGGGACGAGTCTTAAATTAACTGAAACTGCCATTATTCAGATGAGTGACCTCTGACCCTGGGCCGCAAGATGTGATCTTTGGTCATAACCTTGTAATTGAATCATGTCATCTTGATTGAGTCCTTGCTGTTTGGACTGGAGCCTGCAGGATGTGACCTTTGACCGAGGCTGCAATATTTGACTTTTGGATATGACCTAAATGGTGGAAACCTTCACCCAGCAATGTACTGTGGATGGCTTTATCACTTCTGAAGCTTGAATGTGACCTGAGACCTGGAATGTGACCTCTGTGACCTATATTATGACCTCTGTCTAGAAGATGACCTCTTGAAAAAATAAGGCTTCTGTCATGATTTGGCTTCTTGACCTCTAGGAAAGTGACCTTGTGTGTACTACATGTGTATACCAAAGGACAAGCAGATTGGATGTTTGAATTCTGTCTACATTAAACTTTAAAAGGAAGTCAAGTTTATTCTTCACTTTTTAATCCATCCTTGTTATCAGATACTCTGGTAATCATTCCTCGTAGGGCTTCCAAACCAAAATTTGTTGTACTATTTGGGTTTATTGACAGAAAAGTGAAATGGTACACACTGTATAAACGCCATCCCATGAAAAGTGCTGAATGTTGACAAGGGCTTTTTATGAAGACGTTTGACTTGACACTATTGAATACATTATAGACTGGTACTTTTTTACTATTTTAAAATTCTTCAGTTACATTTCCCTAACTTGAGAGATGATGGAAGAATTACCCAGCTTTATTCATTGGATTCCCTGTTGCATAAAAATATTCTACAATTTAGGAGACCTTAACACTGGAACTTGTTTTTGTTTTTCAACATTATAAAAACAAAGACTATCACTATTGGAGACAGAAATGTTGCATTTTAACAAGCAGAAGTGTAAAAATTACTTCATAACTTCAGTACAATTACCAAGTATTTCACAAGTCATTATTGCCATGTTGTGAAAAATTATTTAAACAAACGGCAAAAAATGCAAGTGTATATATTCTTTGTCAGCTGGAGTTAATAATTCAGTATCTTGTGAGCGCAATTTGTGACCTACTCTGTGAAAATGTGTCTTAACCACCTGCTGCCGGGGGACCAGTTTTCGAGCACGTAGGCTTTATACACGGAGCCGGAAACCCGAAATGGGACAAGGGGGAACTGGGCCTTGTAACAAGACTATACTCGGAACAAAAGACCCGGCTGCTGGGCATTACCGACATTTTTTCACTCTTGATAGTGGAGATAATCCAGCCTTGTTTTGAAAAAGTATACCACGGTTTGGGGCATTTAGAGTGAGCAGATTACCACCGGGGACACAGCAGTCCACCATCGCAGCAATGAGCCACACAGCACCGCTGCATGCTGATCTGTCCCCTATTGAAAACAGGTCAGCAGCGCACTGTGCCAGGTTTGTGAACAAAAGAAAGTTATGTAACACCGCACAATCTGGGCTCTTTTTACAAGGCTGCAGGCCTGACTAAAACACTCGGGCATCAATAGATTTTGTCTGCCAGACTAGAGTGGCCACCAGACAGTAATTCGTGTGGGTATAAACATCCATTAATTAAAATAATGAATTTTTGAAGAATTTTGAAAACTGAAAATCTTGAAAAAGTCCTGATTATGTGCACAGCGTTTTTCAAACCCACCTGGCAGCAAGTGGTTAAGTCCCCAAAGCAACTTTTGAGTTTTCATTTGTATTGGAAAGAGCAAATTGAGTTTTTGTTTTGATGTATCACTCAGTTTGGCATCCTGGTGACAGTGAATATTCCATGGTAGAAAATGCTGCGGGTTCGTATTGATTTACACTGTGTAAAATTATTCTAAAGGACCTTTTACTCCAAAGTGGCTCTGGCAACTTAAGACTCATTTTCACAGAGTGGGTCACATTCGGGCTCTTCATGTATACTGTGCATCATTTGATAAGATGGTTGAGACTGGGGTGTACTGTACTAAGATTATCCATGATTAAGATTAAGCCACTCTGTTGACTTAATGTAAGTGCCTATGCTCAGTAAATAACTCAATGGAGGTATTCACAATTGTTGCTCTTGTCAAATTTTCTTAAATGTTGATGCCACTTCAAGTTGTTTTTAAAAGAGACATAAAACAAAAGTCATCAAATTGTGTCATCAAACTCAAAACTGAATACACATAGATGTAAATCATTCTATGGCATATTTTCAGCTTAGTTCCATTGGTGGTACAAACCACAATTTACTTAAGATTATTAAGTTTTGTAAGGCAAATAAAATCTAAATCCATGTTCGTTACTGGTAATCCTTTTTGAAGCACCAGCTTTCTTTGTTTTTAGTTTAAGTGTTGGGTAAACTAGGGAGTCATCTAATATACCGAGCTTTGTGGTCTGAAATTCACATATTTTAAAATTTCAATCAATACATGTACTTCACAGGAATGGAAAAGTTCTTAATTATTTAAGAGTCAAGCACGGACTTAAAAAATGGAATTTATTTTGCTGGCCTAAGATGCAAATTAAAAATTTCATTTCAGTAATTTCTGTTTATTAAAAAATATTTCAAATCTACACGTACTTGAACTCTTTAACAAATCATGGTGGAAGGTATCAGTTCTAGTTTGATTACAGTTGAATTTTGCTAGTTGGGGTCGAGTCTGTTTTGTTTCCTTCCTATTTTAGTCTAACTTTGACCTCTGCATTTAATTGTACATGTACATAAATGTTATACACTGTAAACAGTCAAACTCTCTTTTTCTGGAAACATTTTGAAACTTATCCCAAAACCTTACCATGATGTGTGATACTAATAAAATGTGCAATTGGTAACAAATTACAGCTCTGTGCATGTGTTGATACATCGGTGTATCTTTTACTGCAATACGGCCGTTTCACGATAGTGCGCCACCAAGAGTTTGCAACGCGTTGGCCAATCACAGGGCGCGAAATTTGTCGACCGAATGCACGTTTGAAAAGGGTCGACAAATTTTGTGCGTTATGATTGGCCAACGTATTGCAAACTCTTGGTGGCGCGCTATTGTGAATCGCCCGTATTACAGAGGCAGCTGTTGGTGACTTTTTCTACAGACCAACCACGTTTATTTGAAATAATTTTCCTCTGATTTCAACTGTCTAACTGTTGAAATCTTTATAGGTAAGAAATGAAGCCCTTATGTTCTTCCACAATAATGACCTCTCAGTTAAAACCAATTTTTTTCTTGTGGGTACATATTCCAAGTTTCCAACAAATTCTGACGGATGGATAGATGAAGTGGAATCTGTCAATATTGAAATACATTTTCCCCTCAGAAATTTTGCACCTGATGACAGCACAGGATTATGGTAATTCTGTATGCATAATTCATGAATTTGATTTACATACTGTTTTAATATGCATTTGTTCCTTAAAAAATAAGTCCAACTGTTGTGGCCAAGGCTTGAATTATGAAGGTGGTTACTGTAGGCAGCGGCTGTGGCTACTTGCCATAGACACCTGCGTTGCTGTAAGCCCCAGCCAGTTGGTTCAGACACAGCCCAATTATATTTTAATCCCCCACACAAGAATGAGGACTGCACATGAGGTCAAACTGAGATTTCACGGCACCAGAAATCGCTGCAAACTGCTGCAAATTTCTGCAATCTTAAATGAATCTCAGTTCTAAGAATTTTGATTGACCTCACGTGACCTTTTCTCACACCAACAGAGGGCGCTGTTTTATGATCTGATCTGTGGTTGCAGGGAGGGAAGGTGCAAAGTTCATAAAACAGCCTTAGAGACCAAGGTCATTGGAGAAAAAAAACACATAAGCATGTGGGCATACAGTTACATCAATAAGGCAGACCTAGTGGGTGCACATTGCTGATCTGGTGGGTGCACATAGCTTACCTGGTGGGTGCACATAGCTTACCTGGTGGGTGCACATAGCTGACCTGGTGGGTGCACATCGCTGGTCCAAAATGCTCTCGAACGCCCTTCTATTTAGGAATGTGCTGTTGGGGAATACCCAACTGGCTCATTTATAAGTAGCACCAACATCTTACATTCAGAAACGCCACCAAAAATTTAAAAAAGATACAAATTAATAACAATTATTTAAATGATAACACAAGCTTAACTTTGCCTGTCAATTCCAGACAATCCAATGCCAGAATGACACTTGGCTGGACTATACCTCTTCAGAGCTGTAAGTTTGATCATACATGTCACAAATATTGGCACAATACTTGGTCATTAAACAGTAAATACATACTTAGTAGGAAAAATATAAAAACCCCATTATATGGGCATATACATAATTCTCAATATATATCTTCTTTGTGTCACAATGTGCCATTTGCACACGATAACGATACACACACAATGCTGTTTCAATACAAGTGCCTCTGTAGGACAGTTTTCTTCTTAAGTACTGCAAGTTAGTCTGATATTAAAACATAAAACGAAACAACATCTTGCCAATAATTTGGCTTAACCTCAACAGAGCCACTCATTTCCTGGCATAATCTGCAATTTGACAGCTCCAGAAACGGTCAATGGCAATTTACAAAATCTTGACAGTAGGTCACTTCTAGGAGTTTCCATTATTGGGAGTTAAAGGTACATTAAAACAGCTTTTTCTACTTGTGTGCTATCTAGTCTTCTGAGCATCAAAGATTTCTGTGAATGTTTGATTGAATGTGTCCACTTGTTAGCAAGGAAACTAGGCAGCTGTCCAAAGCTGACAGGGCAAAGTCAGCCTTATGACGGGGAGGAAGTTTGATAAGAATCCTGGTGGACTTGCGGTGTGGGGCTGGTCTTCAAATAAACAACTGACCCACCACAGCTCCCCTAATGGCCCAGTCTCAAGAACTGGAATAATTTTTTGGTTAAAAACTTGATTCAGTCCAGGCAACAAATCCCAGGATATCAAAAACTGCAAAGCCTCTCTAGCTTTACAACTTGCAGGTTGCAATTAAATTAATGCCCCAAAAATGGGAGGATTGAACTTTTTTTCACATAGTGGCCAAGGGTGGACCTCTCAAATCAGCGGACAATTTCCAGAGAGCAAATCACAGTTGTAACAGTCGTCACATCACCTGCAGTTTTAATGCTTCAGAAATAGATCACTGATACATTTTCCTCAGTAGACGAGCCTTCTAAGTTACAGTTATTGGTAGGAAAGATGATCAATGTTGACTTTTGTTCTCCTATCAGCTTTTCTTGTGCTTCTTGTAGTGAGCAAACTCCCAGGACTCGGTGGGTCGGTCTGTACAGACGTTGATGACCAAGACCTTTGTCTGTACTCCGGCTATGTCTAGGCACATACCACTCTCTCTGTGAATGATATGCCCGGGCTGGAGGTTGGAATTGAAGGGAAGAGCAAAACAAAGCAGTTGTATTTGCACATTCATCATTCAATTTAAGAAGTTAGGAATTGTAAGCATTGTTGGACTGTTTGCCACAAATCCAAACTAAAACAGTTTCATTAGTTCTGTGCGCAATCACGCCCCCTAGTGACAAAAAGTTACAAGTTATTGCAAGGTGAGGGTGCGTAAGAAGCATTGTCTGTCTGGTACTTAAGATCAGCTGCATGCCTCTAAGGTTGACACTGGAAAGGAATTCACACTGACCTGCATTCAACTTAGGGACTGGAGATGTGTGATAAAAGGATTACTTATGAAAAGAGGGAAATGATTCCTAACATCACTGTAAGTACAGCGCCCTCAACAGTGTTGATGCAGAGGCATTGAAAATATCAGTTTACCTTGTCATGCTTCCATTCTTGACTGCCTCCCATTCCGTGGCAGCCCTCTAGTGTCAGCTTGTGTCCAGCTCTGTAGTCGGCCAGGTCAAGGCACAGGTCCTCCCAGCGAATTTCACTGTCCAGTGTGATCATGAATGCCTGGCCACAGAAAAATCATTGATCGAACTTATCTGAGTACTCCAGTTTATCTGTTTCATGAACACCATCGAAACTGCTAAAATACTTGAGGAAAATTACAGGACAGGAACTTACGGAGGCATCGGAGGCAATTGCCTCAACGCCCATTGAAATGTCCCCATAGACAAATTGATTTTCTAATACAAGAACCCTTGGAAAATGAGAAATTGCCTCACCCTTTAAGAATGAAGTTCCTGCCCTGATTAATTAAGTTCAAGAACCAAGAGCTGAGGACTCTCTCACTACACCACAGAATGCATGCTTTAGGAGAGCACAACAAAAAGAAGTTTTTCAGTCACAGGCTTTTTTTCAGTCACAGGCTTGCCAGGAAAACCCCTGATAATGATTTATTTCAAAGGATTTGTGCCCACTGACTAATCAACGTCACTCAGTTTTGGTTGGGACAGCTCCATATACCTGACTGGGTAGATTTTTGCCACATTTGCTGACTCCGATGGGTTTACTCTCCCCGGCTCTCAGTGTGTCCACGCACAGATTGGCGTGCTTGTTATGACACTGGACAATGAAAGGAAGAGACAAAAATGAGAAGGAATCAATCAGAGACACTGGACAGAAAAGATAGCAGCTTAACCAGTAATTGGCAACTGACGGCTGCACCTGTCACCCAAAACCTGGGAAACTTTTCAAAAATTTCCTTCACTCTGTTACTTATGACTGGCCTTGTGAAGGGACTTGTGACTGGACTTGTGATGGACTCCAATACAAACGCCGACAGCTTTAGTTCTTAAAACCAGCCAACATCGCCCTCTACAGTTCACGCACACAGCTAGGTTACTGATATCCCTGTGTACGTGCTATCTTACCCTTCCCCAGGCGACCAGCTGATCTTGGGCTGTCCCCAGTAGGCTAGGGTAGACCTTCTCTAGATACCACTGAAAGGGATGGCAGGCCAACTTTTGCCTCAAGGCCTGTCTGTCCGCAACATCACCGTAATATTTATTCTGTTGGCAATTAAATCAATCATTAATTGAGTGTTTGAAACTAAGCTCATTATTCAACTCATGCACGCTGCTACTGCTGTTTTTGCATTTCTGCAATAAATCAGCATCATTGTCACAAAGTAAAATGTACTGCTCAAGGTTAAATGGCTTCTGTCGTGAGACTGCATTCCAACATCGCCATGATGTGCTTTGCAACTTTACGAAAGGAGCGATAAAATGCAGCAGACATTGTCAAGAACTTTTTCATTTCAGCAAGCCCGGCAAAGAATTTATAACTTGAGTATCTTCATTACTTACAGTGTATGTCTTTTCATTGAAAAAACCAAATCATTTTCAAAGCTTCTTTTTTTCTAAAGTGTTGAATACTGCGAGTGCTAAATGTGAACTAGCCTGTGCTTCAGGCAAGGAAGCATAAAAGTCTCTCTTGTAGTCATCCAGCCAGACTTCAGCGATACGTCCCAGGTTGTGCAGATACGATGCTTCAACCCCTCCAGGGAAGTTGTACGGAGGATCCTGCCGATCGATGTGACCCACTCTGGAGCAAGGAATGATCTTGATGTTACCTCCGCACATCCAGACCTGTCAGGGATGAAATGATAAAGCACAGAGTAAACAAGTTAGTGCTGCTTTGGTTTGAACTTTGTCCTAGGACGTTTTGCCCAGTGGAAGGCAAAACAGATAGCCTTGACCGGTCAGCTGCACAGTGACCAACGGGCAAACGTCCAATTTATCAGAATTTATTTCTCAATATCATTTGTATCAACATTTCTTGTGATGCATATGAATATGTTTGCTGTAAGGATATTGGTGCCATGTGACCAAAACTGGTGTCATGTGACCAACACATACGATTTTGTAAACACATGGGAAATGGTCTACGAGGAATGAGGTACTTTCAAGAATATTTGGCCTATAATTTCTTTGAAACAAATTGATCTGTGATAGCTTTTATCTTATCCAATCACAGCCTTACTCTTAGAGACAGCTCCAAGCTCTCACCACCCCATCCTTCCATTTGAGGATCTAGACTGCCGATGCGCTCAAAGTGATTCCTGTCTACTGCAAAGATTCCTCTTCCTAACACTGGCGTTCTGCTCGATAAACAAATCCAAGCATTGCATAGAAAAATGAGACATTTCCAAAGATGCACTCTGTGTAGGGGAGATGTTAACCTTTCATTGTGGCTTTTGCCTGTATTTCAACAGATTAGCAATCAATCAGTCACAGGTTAGATGAAAACACGCTGGCCATGTCAACTGTACAGAATATGTAGAATGCACAAAAAATCCAACACAAATTTGAAAAGATTTTCCATGTCTCTTTTTGTTTGACTGGTACAGTGATGGAAGGGCGCCCTCTGTAGACATGCAGGAGGCAGGGAGGAATGACTGTTCTATTCCAGCCACTGGTATTCATACACAAACCTGAATTGACACACCAGAGAGAAAGTAATTTCAATTTGGTTTTAAGTTTTAGCAGGTGTGAAACTGGGTCTCGGGTCTGACAGAGGCAATTTCCCCCTTTATGCAACGACCTCCGTGGTAGTAGGAAACCTTGTTTGTGGAGCTTAGGGAAGTCCGTTAATTGGAAGGAGGTGTGGGGGGGGATATGCCCTGAAGCAGCTCCTAAGTCTGATTCATAATTATCACTACAAGATATTACAACACTGAGGGCTCCTTGATTCTCCAATATGGAGGAAAGTTTAAGATGTAAACATTCTTGCAATTAAGTTACCTAAGCGCATATCATGCCCTTAAATGGCAATATCAAACGGGCTTGTCATGTGGGTCTTACAAAAGACAGCAAGGCAATTTGCAGCCAAACCTATATATAAGTGCTCAAGAGAATCAAGAAAAATGCCCAGTGAACTGGTTTAATTAATATTTAAGTGGCACCTCAAAGGTTCAATGGGGCTCTCTCGTTCTGCTAAGTCTGCCTTGGATAATGGCGACAGCTTGATGCTGAGGTCCCACTTGAAGACGGACCGTGAGATGCCCGATGCAGTGTACTCCAATGTCTCGTGGTCGATGACGTCAATGATGGGTGCTGCGACCATGGAGCGATCTCGTTTGATGGCATCCAGGAGGGGCTCTAACCTGTGACAAGCAATGACAGCAGATGACAAGGAGGTAAGGCTGTGCTGAATATCCAAATATTCGATCGAATATTTGAAAACCGTTTTCCGAATATGAATAGTCAAATGCAAATTCATAAAAAGGAAGGGAGAATTTTTATTTTGTTTTAAATGAGAAAAGTTGCACTATTGAGACATGTTAAGGCAGATTCAAATGAAAAGCGACAGAAATCTTACAACGATTCAAAAAGTAAATTATTCATAAAAAAACTAAAAGGAATAGAAATTTTCAACATGGCAAGAAGCATTGCTCATTTCTTAAATTTTGCTAAATCATGGTTGGAGGTACCCATGCATACTAGAAGATATTCTAGTGATTATAATGTACAATTGTATATGGTTTGTTCATCAATAATCTGCTGGTTGAAACGACTGAATTTTCAGATATTTGATCGAATTGAAGTTTGAATATTTGAATAGTGATTTGTTCGAATAGACTCGGCCCCACAGTGAGGGTAGCCAACAAATGGCAGTGACTCAAATGGCCATGACTGTTGATGATAAAAGATGACAACAGTACATTGTGTTACACTGTCATGTAATTATAAGTCTTATTAAAAAGAAAAGTACGGGAAAATGGACAAGAAGGGTGAAAGGATTCCAGCAATTATATGTAGAAAAAAAAATGATGTTTTGTGAAATCAAGCCTGTGCCATTTGACTTGAAACTTATTTGTTACGTAACCCATTAACCCAAATAAATCTGTTACACAAGTTTTACCTTTAAGCGATATATATATACAGTCATCTGTCGACCTTTAAGAAGCATTATTTTAACACACAGGAGGAAAACAAGAGGCACAGACATCTTGAGTCATGATTGTGAGATAGCTAAGTAAGACTGACTTCAATCTGTGAGGTGAGAGGCAAGACAACTGTATCCTGACTCGTTTGATACTCTCCAATGGAACTGTCAGTGTGTGACTAGGGTAGATGGCAGCCAGCTGACAGGTCACTTGAGGTGAATTGGTTTAAAGCAGTGTAAAATTAACCAACAATCCTCAGATCAACCATACATTTAGTAACAGGAAACAACTCGTTTTCTTCTTCTTAGTCACGCTTGTTTGAGCTATGACATTTCCGACCTGGTTTGGCACCACGGTATAATTTTGTTGATGGGAAAATCTTACTGTAATTATGGCATTTTCCCCTGAATACATTGACAAGATCCATTCAGAAGACTTTGTGCAAGATGTGTGATGTGAGGTACATGTATCATTCCTACAACAAAGTTCAAGCATCTTTATGGTATCTCATACATTGTCCCCACCACGGCTTGGATGCTGCAGACACCGTAGGACTCAGTATTACTAGATTCTCTAGAAATTCTGAGACTTTTCATCGCAATGGAAAGAATTTAGAAGGTAGTCTTACAGTTGCTCTGAGTGAGGAGATTTGTACAACACAGGTTGAATTTCTATAAGGATGAACAAAGAATTGGAGATGGAACTACAATGTTGTGGAGATAATTTTCATACATCTTCAGAAATTTGTGGAAAATACATACAATTTAAAAAAAGTCTTGCTCTTCTGTGAAAAATCCTCTTGGAAATACAGTGCATGCACAAGGTTTGGACAGCATAAGGGCTACAAACTTCAAAAATGCTCCTCAATACTGCAAATAAAAACAACTTTTTTCCATGCAGAAGGAAAGATTTGGGTTCAGGCAGCCCTGTTGACTTGGCAAGGTAGTTAACACCTGCTGGTTTTACGATCTGTCTGGGAAACCACTTCTGAGGTCAGGTCATTAGGATCAATTACTGTCTGGGTCTTTGGCGATCAACTGGAACCACCACCTTTGAGTGGGGAATTTAGTGACCATGGCTTTGGCTTCCACCATTGGCCTGCCATGAAGAAGAGCCTAGCCACAAATGACAATGCCAGGGTTTGACTGCCTAGTAACCCACATTCCCAGGGCACTGGCTATTACATACCAATGACTCTGTGTGGAAAATGCATACACATGTACTTGTCTACATGTACATGTTTCTTGGTCTTGTACCTTGAGCTGGAAGGTTAAAGGATACTGAGGAATGCCCCAGTGCAGCCTTGACACCTGTGTGGTCTGAAAATTTATGACCCTCCATAATGCTGTATAAATTGTGAAGTGTGATGTAAAAGTCCCCAGAAGGTAATTCACTGCATGGAGGGGAAGCAATTGCCCCCCTGCTTTTTGGAAATTCAGAACTGAGGTAAAAGAAACAGAACGTGGCTCTCTACAGAGAATTAACCACAAGATGTGGTGGCAAATGGCCTGTTCTGTCACATGCAAAATCAGAAAAAATGTAAATGTGATCAATAAAGAAACAGTTTGAGAAATAACCCCACAATGTGGAAGTGTCGAATCCAGCTAGCGACAGCATGTTGGGATCTTGGGCAAGTCACTTTACCCCTGTGTGCCTCTCTCCACCTAGGAGTAAATGGGGACCTGTGAGGACAGACAGGGTTATGTCTAGCTGTTTGCGCCAAAATGGCAGCATCAGGCTAGTATTATGCTCCCCCGGGAGCTGAGATGGTTTCAGGAATGTTCAGATGATGTGATCCTAGTGTGCAGGGAAAATGATAATACCGCGCCTTGGAATAGTTTACTAGATAGATGGCACTCAAGAAGTGTTTGTTATTATTATAATTGAATAAACGGCCTGATCTACTCATGCAATATGGCATTAAACATGACCGACAAAAGAAATAGTTTTTATTTCTAACATAAAAAATCCACTTCTTTGTGGCAAACTGTGGGTCTACAATTTGACCCTCGGACTAAGATTAGACACAAAGTTCACAAAAAGGCAGGCATAACCTGATGGAAATCAACAACATGCAATCAAAGAAAAAAGCTATACAACAGTGGCTCTATTCATTCTCAACGAAGCGTGTACATAAGGGCTCAAGTGTTTTTGATCCTGTGTTGAGCAAGGTGCAACACCCCTGCACTTCCAGGATTACCCTCTAATGTTAGAGGTGTGAAACTGAAGTGTCAACACCTCCTGGGTACAGCTGGTAATTAGATAGGAGGGGTACAAAAGGGGCCAGGGTGCTGGGATCGTGTCTGGGTACCTGGGCTGGTGGCCAGACAACCTTGGATCAATCAAGGGGCCTTGATTCAATTAAGGAGAGATTGACAACCAGCTGTGAGCAGGGCCATTGGTACAGGGGCAAACGCCATAACATTGCTCCATGGTTGGATGAGGGCATTTGTGTTTTCTCAGGCAGAAAATTGCTCAAATACATTAGGACCTCTGGTTGTTTTGGTCTAGGCTGGTTGAGAATGTAGACATGATGGGAAGAACTTGGCCACTTGGTTTTGTTGGGGGGGGTGTAACTATGGTGTAAGTTACACTGTGTGACAAAAAGAAACTCCAGCATACCATACCAGTGAGTGTTCACCTCGCAATGCGAATCCAGAAAGACCAACACCTCCCCAAGAGCTTCCTTCACCCCCTCCAGACGAGCCTTGGCCACCCCTGCCCTGCTATTGGTCTGTACCAGTCGGACCTTACTGCGGACCCAGCGTGGGGTAGTCTTGAGCTGTTCCACTATGTTTACTGGGAGGGTACAAGAGAGATTAAAGGGGTACCAGTACTTACAATTGAGGCTAGTGGGGGTTAGTGGGTTTCATATATTCGATGATTGATGAAAGCAGAGATGGGTACTGAAAGGTTGTGGGAATGCCCCATCAATTACACTGGCAGGGTTATAAACAGACTCCACTGCCATAGTGAGAGAAAAAAAACACAGTGTTGAAACTGCCCTTCAAGCCAGAAATGATCAACACGCTTGATCCACCTTGGACTAGTTAAACTCCTTCAAAATGTAGCGTACTTATTTTCAAGAGTTACTAAGATATATAAATGCCCGATGCAGAAAAGATTGACAGTATCTTAGGAAATATTGCTCCTGCACTACAGGTCACATTTACCACAGTTTTGCTACTGAATTATATCCCCCCCTGGTCCTGGGTTTGATCAAATTCCAGCTGGACAGTGTCAGGACTGTAGGACAAATCTGCTGGTCTTACCATTGTCACTGTAATCATCTACCAGAATGATCTCCTTCAGGAGTGAATGTGGGCTCCTGTTGAGGATGCTGTAGATGGTGCGTAACAGGGCTGACCACGCCTCATTGTAAAAAGCTATGATGACTGAGACGGACGGAAGAGCCGAGAGGTGGTAGGCCTCATTTTTACACCTGGAAAGAAAAGTGAGGAAGGAGGCCAATGTTTAAATTATCGTTATATCTACCGACACAACAATTGGCAACTCCTCATTTCAGTACATTCTGCCGAGGGTATCAAGTACATTTCCTGCCGGATTTTCAAGCGAAGGAGATGGCAAAAGAGTGCCCAGAATTTTCATCCTCAATAAATTTCAAAATATTTCTGTATCAGTTTTCAAAAGATGCATAAAGAACTTCACTTCTCAAATTCAGTTTAATGTCAGACTTCCCAGTGTTTTCCTCCCTAGTTCTTACTCCCTCCCATAATTTGAGTTAAAAAAACAACACCACCCAACTTCATGCCACCACTGTGCATATGTACATGTGATTTCTCCATGACTCAGCCTTGGGCATGAGTTTGACTGGAGTCTTATATAGATAATCCAGAGGGCTTACAGCTTCATGCTGAGATTTCAAACCATGGGACAACAGGGGTCTCACTAAAAATGTGATCATAAACCATAAATATGCACATGTACGGTATGTGCTGAACATTAGTCCCTGGACGTTAGGCATGAGGCTAACTTGGACCCTTGAACTGAGTTGTCTGCTCTCCAATTTCGGAGGTTAATGATGCTACTGGTATATTGTGGATGTTCTTCGACATTTTCATATAGCGCCATCCAGCGACTGCAGTGTACCAAAGTGCAACCTTGTTCCTCTGAGTACAAACCTGCTACGCCATGTTGGTTTCCATAATGCCTTTTGCGATCTTTGAAGCAATCCAGGGAGTCAAGGTCGACTAAAGTGACCTTATGAGGTCAGTGCCTAAGAGTGCAAGAAGCAAACCAGTATGACAAGAGTGCACCTTTAAACTCTCTGGGGGTTTTTTTCCCTCAAGCATTCAGCATTCAATTCTAAGGTCATATACCCTAACCCAACACCACAAAAAGAAAGCTTGGAATATGTACAATAACACTGAAAAAAATGAGAAAGTCCTGACTATTGCCAACAAACAGGTAATGAACTCCGCTGTTCAAACAAACGTTGAGTTGCTGTCCTCAGGGTAAACCTGAAACCATACCCCTGCTAAGATGCAACTCCCTCAAAGTGGCACAGCAATTGACTCGTATCCGGGGGATAACAGCGGTTTCTCTGATCCTACCTCCCGGCTATGTACTAGTACATGAACAAGGGCACAAGCCCTTCAAATCACTGCTCAGCACACTCGGTCTCAATGAGGCATGGTGCTGTTTTGGGCTTGGAAATGTCAGACGCAGTCACCACACCATGTCGTGAATCCCCAGAGGGAAAAAAAAATTCTACAAACTTGAAAAAATAAATCTAAAGGGCTGAAATCATGCATAGGCTCATTTACACATACAGTGTGTCTGAATAGAACACCCATTTGACATTGTTAAGTGTACATGTACATATGTACATTTCACTAGCTTACAATTTCCAAACATGATGGTGCTGCTGTCCTGATAAATGTACATGTACCAGTATGTCGATTTCGGAGCATAGCAAAGAAAAACGACAAATGGTACCCAACTGGGCCAGCAATAATTCCCATCACACTGCACCTGTTGCAGACTATGGCTCAGGAATTTTATTAGGTACAGGTACCAATACCAAGGTCAACATTCAACATTTGACCTGGCCACTTTCTTGTAAATATTAAAGGATAAAAAGAAAACTGCCAAAGGTGTCATGTGGTGAGGTGTGGATCAAGCCCACGTGTGGCGCGTCAGGTTCTGTCGGACATTCCTGGATAACTGGTTCTTGGCATTTTGCCTGTGCAGCAGAAAAAAATATATCAGGCGCAATAAAGTTCATGAAAACTGTGAACTCTTTGGTCTATTTTCAGGGAGGCCTTATACAAATATATATCCATACAACATCCATGCTCCACTTACACTTTGTACGCTGAGCTCCAACTTGTGATCCTTCATTTTCTGTAGCCTCCAACCACAAAGAAAATAAAACACCTAGGGATCTATCCTAAGACTTTCCCTGAGTCCTCCAAATCATTCTACTGTGCTGAGAAAGGGGACAGGCCTTACCTTGCCCAATCCTACACCAATTCTTTCAAACTCCCAAGGGCAGAGTTGTAGATCTTCAGTCTCAAGTCAGTCCACAAGTCAACGCACAAGGCATGTCACAAGTAAGTGCGGATTGAATTTGAAAAGATGAATAACAAAGGAATGCTTTTGCCACAGTTCATTTAAATAGCTTTCGAGTTAACTTGCGGCTGAATGACTTGTGACTGACTTGTGACGACTTGCAGTGACTTGTCACTGACTGGATTACAACTCTGCCCAAAGGATTCTGAAGGATTATGGTTCATTCATGAGCAAAATGACATTATCAGCCACCTTTAAATACTACCAAGGGAACTCTGCCATAGGATCCCTTGTTCCCATTACCTGGTACCTCTGACCCCAGTAAGGCAGCCAGGACTGTGCAAGCCTGTTTACCAAATGAAAGGTACCGGGTATTAAATAGTCACCATCCACCTTTTGAACCTATTGTTATTGCAGCACAGTTTGGGTTACGTGCTCTTCAAATCTAGGCTAATGTATCACAGTCACATTTGTTTGGAAAGAACCGGCACTGCTGGAGACTGGGGCTGTCTGACATTTCTACTTTCTACTGCAAAACAGAACCTCAACAGAGTAACACATGATTGGGGAGGAAGCATCTCACAATTCAGGGAGCATGGAACTCTCCACATCACTGGGAATGGCCCGGGATGTGGTGTTACTGACAGAAACGTGGACACTGAAAGTTATCGTACTAATACTAGGTACACAGAAAGAAAAAAAACAGGTTGTGCACATGTAGGACCAGAATCATGTCAATGAACAGCAGTGCTCTCCAAGTTCTGAATTCTAAATGTGGTGGAAACTGACCAAATTACTGACACTGTTTACATCCATCACTGGTGATGAGGACCCACGTCTGTCATAGGGGTTCTAGGTATGAACATGTTCGGCTGTTTTGTGGGTAGGTAAGTGGCTCACTTGAGTGATGAGAGCCTGGAAAGTTCTGTTGCAGTGATGATAGTGGGGAGGGGCATGGCCCTTCCAACAGAAGGAGGGTTGCTTGGACACCTTTCCTGGCTTGGCACCTCTGGTCAGCTGCCTTTGTTCTGGCTCTCATACCAGGGAGGGGATCCTCAGCAAGGCCAATTTAGACATCCATTCCCCAAACTAAGATCAGATCTACATTTATACATGTGCATGTACGCACTCATGGAATTTAGTCAAGTAGTGGTTCCAACAGAATGGTACATGTACAGTAACTGTCTAAATTTTGAAACGATCCCTCCATCACCCAGCAGGCACCAATAAACAGGAAAACTGAAAAATAAGATCACGCAAGCAACAGAAGGTTAAATTTACATTCATGACCACATTCTATTTGGGTTAAGACTGGGATGGAATAACAAGCCTGCAGCAACTGGAATAATTTAAATTGGCTTAACATTTCAATGGCCCTGCTGAAATACTGCCCCAGTGCGATATTTCATAGGACTGAATTTCCATGACCTCCTGCATTGATTTTTATGTGGAAGTATTGTTGATCCAGATTAAATATTACCGACAGAAGAGATTCCCCGCAGACAGAAAGCATGACCCTGGTTTCAATTGAGCAGGCTAAGAATGTCCTGGAATTCCAAGCAGACAACCTTGGAGGGACTGTCAGGCAGAAATAAATCAACTGATGTTGAGATCGCTCGGTATAAACCATGCTCTGAACCACCTCTTTCAAAAACATTTCAAAATCAAACTTGGAATGACTAGAATAAAATTACACCAAATTTACTATAAATCTGAACAAGCAGACTTGCCATTTGTTGTTTTTAAAAAGTTCAACAATCCAAGAAAATCGTAGGATAACAAACTAAATATTTCCACAATTGTTAGGACAATCTCTAGAGCTAGACTTGACACCAAGATTCATTCTCCGAGTCAGGATTCTGATTCCAATAGAAGCTGCATGATCCTGTTGTAGAGATATTTCAAAGCCAAATTCCCTGGGTTCATTTCTGACACAAGTTCTTCATTCCTTCCCAACTGAAACTCCAATCCAAAACCTGTTGGTTGGATTTCAATTCAAGCAGCTTAATGGCATGTGCTGCATTTTTCTTTTTTTTTCAGCTCCTCCTTTCAAAGATTGTTTCTTTTCCTTGATCGGATTATTAAATTTCTTTTTTTTCTTTCAGTGATCCCTGAGGTTTCATATCTTCATAACACGACCAGCATATTGCATTTCATTTCCTAGTCTATTTATATCTCATTAACAAGATCATGTTTTATGCAACTTTTTCTCAGATGACCCTGTTTTTCCTCACCCAAAGATGAACAACTTCCTCCTGAAGTGAACATTTGGAGCCCATGAGGTGAACTCATTCACAAAGGTCAGTCGTGATGTGGCTCTGCATTAAGAATAAACTGTGTTGTGATTTGAAACACTTGCTGCTATAATCTGACTTGATGAATGGTTTCCCTCACCTCCATACTTAAAGAGCATATGAATTCAGAGGGACTAGGGCTGACTCCATTTGAGTAATTCATTATATTCGACCTTCAATTCGATCGAATATCCAAATATTCGGTTGTACCAACCGACAAATTGTTGAACAAACCATATACAAAATCAGTTGCAATAAGGCACACAATTGTACATTATAATCAATATAAAAGCTTCTCACATCTACATGTAGGAGTATCTCCAGCCACGATTTAAATATCCAGCAAAAAATGAGACAGGGGGGTACCCCCCCCCCCCCCGAAAATGTCCAATCTCTATACACACTCTAGAGTGTTACCTAACACATCCCCTTGGATGCCTGAAAAGAATTCCTCAGATTCCAGTGAAACAATGACCAACACAAAGGAGGGGTGGGGGAGTTCTCTCTGTCTCATATCTTGGGAGATTATTTGAATTTGGGGGGACTGTGCCAGGCAGGGTTCCTGCAAATGCTGCATTCATGGAACAAATGGAGAGTAACTAGAGTTGATTCC